CTGTTACAACACTAGTGTAAATTTTATTTATTGAGGTATATTTATTTACACTTCATACAAAAACAATTAAAACGTGATATGAAATACTAATTTTATAACAGCATAGGTTTCTGAAACGATGTTCTAAAAATATTTTTATAAATGAAGGTAGGTACTTAGTGAAAAACGTGTGAAGTTTTTGTGAGTGTGTTGCATAGGTAGGTACTCGGTGCTTACGTGTTTGTGAATGATTAATGAGTAGGGAAGAATATCAAAGTGTATGTTACTTACTGGAGCTGCGTCGCTGACCACCAACACCTCAATCTACACCACGGTCTAATCTTGCACGAGCGCGCGTATTGTATGTGTTTACTTATATGTATGAGTGTGTACGCACCAGAAAATATGCTTTGTGTACTGCACCAGAAAAACATGCTTTGTGTAGATACTGTTTTTTGTTAGATTTTGTACATTCATCGGAGTATTGAGTACTTACTGAAGCGGCGTCGCTAACAACCAACACTTCAGTCTGCACCAGGTCGGACCGCGCGCGCACCCGCCGCCACCACTCGGCCAGCGGTGACGCGTGTGTGTTAGAGGGAGAGAGAAATAGGGAGGGGTGAGAGAATGAGAGAGGAGGGATAAAGTGGGGAAAGATGCAGGAGATGAGAGAGGGAGAGGGGGAGAGAAAGGGACGTAGGGAGACACGTGCGTAGTGTAATACTAAATGTGTATTGATTACTTACTGGAGCCGCATCGCTGACCACCAACACTTCAGTCTGCACCAGATCGGACCGCGCGCGCACCCACCGCCACCACTCGGCGAGCGGCGACGCGTGTGTGTTAGAGGGAGAGGGGAGAGAGAAATAGGGAGGGGTGAGAGAATGAGAGATAAAGTGGGGAAAGATGCAGAAGAGAGGAGGAGAGAGGGAGAGGGGGAGAGAAAGAGAGGGGTAGAGAAAGGGAGGGGGAGAAAGGGAGGTAGGGAGACACGTGCGTAGTTTAATACTAAATGCGTATTGACTACTTACTGGAGCCTCGTCGCTGACAACCAACACCTCGGTCTGCACCAGATCGGACCACGCGCGCACCCTCCGCCACCACTCGGCCAGCGGCGACGCGGGTGTTAGAGGGAGCGGAAGAGAGAGCGGGAGAGGGGAAAGAGAGAGCGGGAGAGGGGAGAGAGGGAGAGAGAGGAATAGGGAGAGAAATGGGAGAGAGAGGAAAAAAGGGGAGAGAGAGGATAGAGGGGAGAGAGGGGTGAGATAGAGGGGGTAAGAGAGCGAGAGATGGGAGAGAGAGATGGTAGAGAGGGGGAGAGATGAGCGAGAGAGAGGGGATATAGAGTGCTTGGGCTTCTGTGAATGCTACTCACTGGAGCGTCGTCGCTGAGCCAACACAACACACAGTCGAACAGCTGCCAACACTTCAGTCTGTACCAGATCTGATCGCGCTCGCACCGACGCGTGTGTTAGAGGGAGAGGGAGAGAGAGGAAGATAGAGGGGAGAGAGAGGGAGAGAGAGTGCTTGGGCTTCCGTGAATGAATTGCGTTGGCGTGTTGACTAATACTGGACTACTTACTGGAGCGGCGTCACTGACAACCAACCATTCAGTCTGCACCAGGTCGGACCGCGAAAGGAGAGAAGGAGCGGGGGGAGAGGGGAGAGAGAATGATAAAGAGAGGGGAGAGAGATGGAGGAAGAGAGAGGAGATAGAGATAGGGGGGAGAGAAGGAAAGAGAGAGGGAGAGATGGGAGAGGAAGAGGGAGAGCGAGGGAGTGAGTGGAAGAGGGAGTGCGAAGAAGTGAGAGGGAGAGATAGAGAGAATGAGAGAGAGAGAGAGAGAGGGAGAGAGAGAGATAGGGAGAGAGAGAGAGGGAGAGATATATGGAGAGGGGGAGAGAGAGGGAGGGGGAAAGAGAGGGAGTGAGAGGAAGAGGGAGAGCGAAGGAGAGAGAGGGAGAGAAAGAACAAAATGTGTATTAATTACTCACTGGAGCGGCGTCGCTGACCACCAACACTTCAGTCTGCACCAGATCGGAGCGCGCTCTCACCCGCCGCCACCACTCGGCGAGCGGCGCGGAGCCTCGTAAGCGAGCGCGCCTCTGCAACCACCAGCACTGTTACACCTAGCAAAGCCCGGTCTGCGAGCACGTAGAATTTTGTCCAATGACCCCAAGCTACCCATCCTTATCGCTCGGGCGAAATTATATTGCTGTCGCGACTGTGCGACGGCGGCCGCAGTGAGTGTGCGAGCGCGACAGCAACATAATGGGGTCATTGGACAAAATTCTACGTGCTCGCAGACCAGACTATACACCGATACAGGGCCAGACATTCTGTACCACATGTTAGGTTGCCTTTTAGAGAGGTTCGTGGTGGGAGAAGTCGACAAGAAACCAACTATGGTCCGGTCGCCGAGCACGTAGGATTTTGGCCAATGACCCCAAGCTACCCATCCTTATCATCATCATCATTTCAGCCACAGGACGTCCATTGCTGAACATAGGCCTCCCCCAATGACTTCCACATCGCACGGTTGGTAGCGGCCTGCATCCAGCGCCTTTCTGCTACCTTTATGAGGTTGTTAGTCCATCGTTTGGGTGAACATCGCTTTCCTTTTAGTGGGAGGTGCAAAATATCGCTTTGTAACCAAATAATAGTAGGTTAGACCCTATAGTTAAATATTACATGTCTTTTATTTATTTATAACTTACGGCCGCCCGCGACTTCGCACGCGTGGACCCCATTACCCCCCTTTTAGGGTTTCCATTTTGCAAATCTCACCGTAAAACCATTCTTGGACTTCAACAAACATTAAAAAAACATTAATTTACATAGCATATTTCAGTGCTTGTGACAGTAATTTTTTTCAACTCTAGGGTAAGGATAAGCGACACTGGGCGGCTTGACGTCTATTCTTGTTAATTCATATCTCAAATAGGGGCCTAAAAATGCGGTGAAATGGTTCCAGTAAAGGATGGTACGGCAGTGTTTGCGTTGTACCCCCAGATGTATTAGCTCTCGTCGCGAGGACAAGCTGTCTGCAACTGTCGCCCAGTGTGTGCAGTAGAAATTTACTATTTCCACTGCTTCCAACATCCAAACACCAAAACTCACTCACATTGATATACCGGTCCAGGAAGTCGGGCATCTCGTCCCTATACTTGAGTTTCCCGGACATATCCTTGAACCACTGGTTGATGATCTCCGCGAAGTTGATCGCCTGGAACAAAGCGAACGCGCGCGTCGCTTCTGCCTCGCACACGTAGCAGATTGTTTTGATCTGGAAATATCACAGCTTTTTACAGGGATGTTATGGATATGAAGTTTCGGTTATGGATACGGTTACGGATATTAAAATAATATTATACCGATTTCGGTTACGGTTACAGATATAAAATCATTTCGGATGATCCGAGAGACAAGTAACAAATATTTAAAAATACTAAAATGTAGACTCCGCCTATATCCAAAACTATCCGAAACTTTTGAATTGGTTACAGTTATTTTTTTATTTCGGATATCCGATAGTTTCGGTTACGGATATCCACACCATCGCTGCTTTTTAGTAATATAACAATTTACAACTAATCTTCTTAAGGTATACTAATGCAGTTCGAAATATTCCCAAAGGTGTAGATAGAAAGTTTATTTTCAGTAACATAAAAATTCAGATACAAATGATCTTTGAACTGGGAATAAAAACTTTTTATAGAACTGTTAAGGACTATGAAACACTACTTAACACTTAAATAAAATCTCGAATCATCAAAATACTAAACATAATAAAGTTGTATTTAATCACAAAAACAGTGGTTTTGAAGAAATTACACAAATTTCAAGGGTTTTCATTTTTTTTTTTTTTTTTTTTTTTTTTTTTTTTTTATTTTTATCTGCAATCAGCCCAGCGGCTTTAATCAGATTTGATGTTGATTGATAATTCGACTTTTGGGGAGTGCACGTCCTGTGATGTGTCATCCCTGCTCTTTTTCTTCCTGAGAAGTTTTATATGGAAGCNCCCTACACTGCATTCAGTCCCATATATGGGACAACCAATATAATTGATGCTTTTTCTGATTTGAGCCAAGTAGCGGCATCTATCATAACGTAAATAAAGTGACGACAACCAAAGGCATCCATTTATTGCATCCGTTGAAATTAGATGGCAGCACTATCTCGCTCAGTCAGTCATTCAATTGAAAATTTTGTACTTCACCCACGCGCCGTGCGTATTCATTTTAAAAATTTAATAAAAAATAGTTGTTTATGAAATGCAACAGTGGAAAAATTGTTTTTATGTCGAAATATCAATGAACCAAACAAATGTAAGTATATTTTTTTGATTTGGCCGTGTTTCGATACTAAATTTTTATAATTACTGTGTGTTCCCGATGTGTCACTTCATGCAGTGATGATCCAATTTTAGATATGTACACTAATGGTATGATGTTGATTTTTCGTACATAGTGAATAAGAAAACCTCATTCAGCGCTCAAATCCAAAATTATTTGACCATACCATTAGATAATGAAGATGAACAAGACTCCTCAGGCCGAAAGTGACGATGACATTGCCTCAATTAGATCTACCCTCAACAAACTTTCTGAAACGTTTAGCAATAGGTACGGATGACGAAAATCAATTTGTTTCACCGAACAGGTTTGAAACCGTTGCCCCATCAGGGACCTATGCTGCAGCAGCATAATATACCAAATCCTAGTGGTTCAATCTTGCTGTTCCCTACATCCAGATTCGTGAAGCAGTTGGCTTCACGAACACGTCAATCAACAGTTGTATCTTCCGCTTCTGCTGCACCACAAGACGCTGCTCCTACACCTGCTGTGTCCGTCTCCAGAATAAAGGAAAATATCATCTGGAAAAAAAGCTTACCATCCAACAAACCTTGAATTTTGTGGGCAAACCGCTTTAGAGTCAGAAGTTGAAACTCATTTGCAATATTTGTTCTAATTATTCGCCATTGATAAGAAATACCATGTCAGTAACCCAGTTTGAAAAATTAAGCAATATCTACACTTCAATGATACCACTCAGCCACCAGCAGGTACAGCAGGATACGATCGTCTCCATAACTCAGACATCTATTAGAAACCCTAAAAAAATGTCAAGCTATACCCAAAAGAGAAGCATTGTCAGTGGATGAGCATATGTGCGCTACTAAGGCCTCTAACATGCTGCGCCAATATCTACCTAATAAGCCTCATAAATGGGGGTAATCCTTGATAACTAATACACATGCCCAGTATTGATTACGCTTTAATTTAGGTAGGTCATTGCATGCAGTGCCACATATGGAACAAAATAAAAAAATCATTTTTCTCTATAACTATTAGTTTATTTTTATTTTACCTGTACTTCCCGTGTTCTAGACCACGAATATGATCTAATAAGATTTTTTATTCTAAAAACAAAAAAATCATGCAGTGTAGGGTTAAGTTTGTCTTGGAGGGTATTGTTCTCATTTTCTCTTAGCATTTCCTTCAGTTCCTTTTGTATTCTATTAAGGGCTTTCTTATCTTGACGATTCCTGCTGGTGTGCCACTGACGTCGCAGTTTTCTCTTTTCAGCAATCATCTGTCGTATTTCCAGCGTAGTGTCATGGTTTTGTGGTTTAGATGCCATGTGTGGAGTTGATAGCCATGCCGCCTTTTGTATTAGGTTAGTGGCATACCACGCAGCGTCATCTATGTCTTCTACCGTTTTTAGAGGTATGCGCAGATTAACATTATCACTTATATATTCCCTAAAGGACTCCCAGTCAGTTTTATGGCTATACAGGGTCTCTCGTGGTTCTTTCCAGATAACTGTGGTACTCAATGTGCATATCACAGGTGTATGGTCTGAGGATCCATCTAGGCATGCTTCCACTTTTGTGTATAGTCCCGACATCTTTTTAGTGATGAAGAAATCGATGAGATCTGGAGTTTTGTTAGGGTCTGATGGCCAGTAAGTTGGTTCTCCTGTAGATAGTACATTGAGGTTACTGCTATCAATTGCCTTTTTTAGCTCTCGGCCCTTTGTCGTCGTCAATCGGGAGCCCCAGAACGTGTGTTTTGAATTCCAGTCTCCTCCCACAATGAATCTGTCACCAATCGTGTGGAAGAAATCGCTAAACATTTGTTCATCTATGCGATGTCGTGGGGGACAGTACACAGCAGCCACATTCAGCGATCCGTGCCAGTCATCTACAGATATCATTGCGGCCTGTAAGTGTGCGAAAGTAAAATTCGGTATTACGTGGTGTCTTATGTGTTCCTTAATTATTACAGCGGCCCCAGCATGTGATGTGCCATCTGGATGGTTAGCATAGTATACATTGTATCCTTTAATTTTAATCACTTTCTGGTCAGTCATATGTGTTTCAGAAACCAATAGTATATCTACTTTGTTGTAGTTTATGAATAGCTCTACTTCTTGCTTATTCGGGGATAAGCCATTTATGTTCCATGCAGCGATTCTGAGGAATTTTACTTTGTCTGCCGAGCTATTAGTGTCGTTAGGAGACCCATTAAGGTCCCTATCTGTTGTATGAGGATATCGATCTTCTCCGACTGTTTTATTATTATTTGCTCTAGTGAGCTTGTTGACTGAGATTGTACATTCTCTGTTTTTCTGTTCCAGTTGCCGGTATTTGCAGTATTGGATACGCTTTCGGCTGGGCGCAGATTGTTTTTTTCCTGGTCATTTTTCGGATGTTGTGTATTGTGTCTGGGGAGTCTTAGCGGAGGGAAATCTTCCACTCGAGGTGTAAAGGTGTCTGTGGCTTTTGTCTTGTCTTGTGGGGCTCTTCTAGTCCCAGCTTGAACCATTTTTCGTGAACGGATCTCCTTATAGACTTGGCAGCCTTTGTAGTTGGCTGGATGATCACCTTGGCAGAGGGCACAGGTAGCGGGCAAGTTTCTATCCTTTTTGTGGCAGTCAGTAGTTTTGTGTCCTTGTGCGCATTTAACACACCTGTATGGACGCATACAGTTGTTTTTGGTATGTCCATATTGTTGACACCTGGTACACTGTGGTATGTCAGTTGATTTCCTTGGATCTTCTATTGTGACTAGGAACAAGGAACTAGGAAACAAGGGTTTTCATGAGAAAACTTTTTCATAAAGTTGTACAAGTTTGCAGCATATTTTTGTAGTATTACCACTTACCAGCGGCGCAGCAAGGCTCATAATTCCAATGCATTTTAAGAAGTGCTCAGGGTTCACTAATCTTCTCTCTTCTTCGGTACGCAAACAAACGCCACAATATTTCAAGTTATTTGATATAACATCGTTAAATATAGTCGAAATCTCAATTGAAGCCGCCGAAGGCATTTTGGTTTTGTTGTATTCACTTTGTACCGTTTAAAATGAACACAAAAAAGTGTTTAATTGATCTGAAAAGGAGATTATTTTGTTTTTTCAACCAAACAAACTGAGAAACAAACTCGCGTTCATGAATCGTAATTTGATTGACATTTTTGTTTTTACTAGTGATGTGCATTATACACAGTGTGCAGATATTTTATCGATAGAATATTCAAGTAAAGAAGAACGGTCATCTGTGACCCAGGCCCGACAGAAACGAGACATGCCTCAGTTTTTTTGTCATGTCTTAATTAGTTAAATTATATATTTTTTATATTCGAAATCTATGTATAACACCAAATTATTACCCTTTGTTTTTGTTCAGGCGTCATACAAAAACTAATACAAAATGCCTATTTATCACCAAAATTGGTAAATGTATGTACCTAAATGTCTATTACAGCTGCTATGGAATGTATCTAGGTGACCTGGAGATACAGCCGGATTATACAGGGTGGTTATACATATGGAACGATAAGTGACCTCCAGACCCGACAGAAACGAGACATACCTCAGTTTTTTTGTCATGTCTTAATTAGTTAAATTATATATTTTTTATATTCGAAATCTATGTATAACACCAAATTATTACCCTTTGTTTTTGTTCAGGCGTCATACAAAAACTAATACAAAATGCCTATTTATCACCAAAATTGGTAAATGTATGTACCTAAATGTCTATTACAGCTGCTATGGAATGTATCTAGGTGACCTGGAGATACAGCCGGATTATACAGGGTGGTTATACATATGGAACGATAAGTGACCTCACTCGATTAATTCTAAACTATACAAGATATCGAAAAACTAGTTACTGATTCTGAAAGTGCTTCACGAGCTCTTTCAAATGGTACCAATAATAGGTTACAGATTATGGAAGTTGGTAATATTGAATTTTTGGATTTTGTAACTTCTCGTTTCCACCCTGTATAATCCGGCTGTATCTCCAGTTCACCTAGATACATTCCATAGCAGCTATTTAGGTACATACATTTACCAATTTTGGTGATAAATAGGCATTTTGTATTAGTTTTTGTATGACGCCTGAACAAAAACAAAGGGTAATAATTTGGTGTTATACATAGATTTCGAATATAAAAAATATATAATTTAACTAATTAAGACATGACAAAAAAACTGAGGTATGTCTCGTTTCTGTCGGGTCTGGGTTTTTTTTGTATGGGGTGTGACCGTTCTTCTTTAAGAGTAAGAATAAGTTGAATTAGAATTTATGTAAATGATTTTCAGTGAATCAACACAGTTCAAAACACTTATTTGCCTAATGAAATATTTGAATACAAAAATCAGCACCCCGATTACGGTAACTTTTAACGTCTACAATCCAGACGCGTTTCTGATTCTGCAATACGATTGGTCAAAACAGCTGACGTACGCTGTTGAACGACCAATCGTATCGCAGAATCGAGAAGCGTGTCTGGATTGTTGACGTTATAAGTTACCGTAATCGGGGCTCAGAAGTGATTAAAAAATGATCAGTCAGACAGAAGAATGCGCAACACGTGACCAGCGTATACCTACAGCAGATACAAATCTTTGCTTATCGATCTACTCGCCTCAGCTCTTGTTTCGCGGAACTTTTTATATTTACCAAAATATGAATATGCGTGGGAACTGCGAATTAATACCTATTCATTTTTTTTTTTTTTGTGGCAACCAAACCTCTCTGGGAGGTTTATTTCTGCCAATGTCGAGTGAAAAATATTGACATAGTTATCAATAGAACGTGGGTGTTTCAGTTCTATTGATTATTCATGGATTCCGTGGAGTTAAGTATGCCCGTAAGCAGGTTTCGAGACGCCACCGGGTCCAAAGCGGTTGTTCATACGACAACCCACTCGACACTCGATGCGCGCTCAAATTCGAAGTATTTCAATGTTTTTTATAATTTATCACTTCACTGCACTTTAGAACACAAAATAACACCAAATTTGTACACTGAAGTCCATTAAATAATAAATTGAAACCATTAAAACAGATCGACCATGCTTCCCGTTCAACTACCCTCCACGGAATCCCTATTCATTTTAATAGATATTTACACGGTACATCACTAAGATTTGACAGTATCTTTCTTTTTAAATTGAGGCAACGAAACTTACTAATTGAGACATTATTGAGGCAACAAACAAGCGCCATCAACGGGTTTTAGAATGTGGAACTTGCTTGGAGCACATAAAGATTATAAAAGAATTAAAAAATAAAATGAATTAAATATTGTTACAAAAGAAATTCTTTGCACCTATCCTTTGAGCCTGTTGTGAGCAAAGTTGTCACGTGCACTCAATCTGAAATGGCGGAAAAGATATTTAGAACGGCGCTCAGTTTGATAAACTGCAGAGTTGATTTCTTATTATTTTCTTTCACCCTGTATAAGTAAGAAGTAAAACTCTTTTTTTATCCTATTTGCTATACAGCTTGATGAACTTCACCTTGACCTTGTCAGTCTTTAAATTGTCAAAATTATTTTCAAACAAGTCACAGTACTAATTTTTATTGGAATTATTATAAAACGTGAAGTAAACAGTGAAATATTAAACCAAATTATGTAACTACTTATTTTTAAAACGATAAAGAAATCATTGCCCATGATAGACAGCGAAAACTTATCGCCTGCGGTGTAAGTTAGCCTATTATTTATTTATCCAACTGAAAACATAAAAATTCTTGCAAATAAAGCATGATTTTTCCTTTTAAAACTCTTGGACAATATTAAAAAAATGTGGGTGGATGAAGATTTTAGCTAATGCCGCGTCTGCGGCGAAAAAATTTGTGATTCAAAAAGGAAAGTGCAATGTGCTTGTGTATTTGCAAAAATATTCATGTTTTCTGTTATTCATAACAAAACAAAACTAGTAGAATAAAATTAAATGTTCCAATAGCAACGTTTTAGATTGAAAGACAGAAAAAGTTAGGTACTTAANAATCCCTATTCATTTTAATAGATATTTACACGGTACATCACTAAGATTTGACAGTATCTTTCTTTTTAAATTGAGGCAACGAAACTTACTAATTGAGACATTATTGAGGCAACAAACAAGCGCCATCAACGGGTTTTAGAATGTGGAACTTGCTTGGAGCACATAAAGATTATAAAAGAATTAAAAAATAAAATGAATTAAATATTGTTACAAAAGAAATTCTTTGCACCTATCCTTTGAGCCTGTTGTGAGCAAAGTTGTCACGTGCACTCAATCTGAAATGGCGGAAAAGATATTTAGAACGGCGCTCAGTTTGATAAACTGCAGAGTTGATTTCTTATTATTTTCTTTCACCCTGTATAAGTAAGAAGTAAAACTCTTTTTTTATCCTATTTGCTATACAGCTTGATGAACTTCACCTTGACCTTGTCAGTCTTTAAATTGTCAAAATTATTTTCAAACAAGTCACAGTACTAATTTTTATTGGAATTATTATAAAACGTGAAGTAAACAGTGAAATATTAAACCAAATTATGTAACTACTTATTTTTAAAACGATAAAGAAATCATTGCCCATGATAGACAGCGAAAACTTATCGCCTGCGGTGTAAGTTAGCCTATTATTTATTTATCCAACTGAAAACATAAAAATTCTTGCAAATAAAGCATGATTTTTCCTTTTAAAACTCTTGGACAATATTAAAAAAATGTGGGTGGATGAAGATTTTAGCTAATGCCGCGTCTGCGGCGAAAAAATTTGTGATTCAAAAAGGAAAGTGCAATGTGCTTGTGTATTTGCAAAAATATTCATGTTTTCTGTTATTCATAACAAAACAAAACTAGTAGAATAAAATTAAATGTTCCAATAGCAACGTTTTAGATTGAAAGACAGAAAAAGTTAGGTACTTAAACTATGTCAATGAGCTTTTGTTTGGCTATATACCTTCTACGTAATTAAAAATACCTACGATGAAGAAAAATCTCCCTCTCCAATCGAAAAAATCGTGTCAGTTTTATTTTATTTGTGTTTATTTTGATGTCCACCAAGTTTATTTTATTTTTAGCTACGTGACCACCGAACATACACGAGAGGATGGTGAGTGCATCACTTTATCACTGTCATCATCCTTTAGCTGATAGATCAACTCATTGACTGCCATTTGCATGTTGCCCTTTGAAGCTTGCCAAACCATGGCCCCATTCTTGGCCAGTCCATCGAATCAGGCCGTGAAACATAAAGCCCTGTAAATTGTACAAAACTTTACATGGCGCTGTGAAATCATGAATCGCAATTTTACAGTGAATATAGGTCCTATGTGCTCCACGCGCCACCAAACATTACAAAAAAAAATAGCTTGAACATAAAGCCGGGTCTCCAGCGCGTGTTTTGCCCTAAACAATCAACAAAAACATCTCAACATTCAACAAAATTGCCTACAAAAAATTCCGACATGTTTGTTGATTGTGTAGGGCAAAACGCGCTGGAGACCCGGCTTAACGTTCTCCATTCTCATTAGATTAGTCCATCAAACAGGGTTCATAACTCTTTGATCATTCCACCTTCGTAGACCTTCAAATTGAAGTCCACCATCTTTTCAGATGAAGTTCCCGAGCCCACGCACCCCTCTCGGAGGCCTTTCCACCGCCAAAGCACCACCACCGCGCCTCTGCCTTCCACTCCTCTGGCGAAAAAGCAGAACATAATACTGCTGATAGCCACTGTGGTCGTGGCTATAATCGTGCTCATCGTTATAATATTCGTCTTGTTGTTCATTAAGAAGTGATAGTCGGAAATTTTTAATTAGTGATTAAAGTGTTTCGATAAAAACGTTGGGTTTCATTTCCATATTGATTTTGGCGTTTATCTGATTAGCAATTTAGGAATGTAAGTCTTAGTAACGCACTGTGTCCAAATGTGAGCTTACTGTAGAGCAGGCCTTCAAAAAGATAATTGATATTATTCAATAAAATATAGTGCTATTTTTATGGTTTAAGACATTTATTTCTCTAAAAGAATTACATTCACTTACAAGAGAAATACAAAATTAACCTTAAAACTATAGATTATTTAAAGTTTATACATTTTATTTTTATGGACTATTCGTCTAATACGTTGATAGCAAAAAGTGGCTACGTAGAATGGACGTAGGTATTCGATAATGAGTGAAATTTTTGAAAAGGAGAGTGGATGGACCCTTGGCTGATTGTTAATGGTTGAATTAGCCATAATTAAATGCTCATTGACATAGTTCACAAACTTTCATCGCTATGTTAAAATTTGATCAAACTAGCGAGTTATATTTTTTTCAGCATCTTCTCCAAGCTGAGCCGGAGTGGCGGCGATATGGAGAAACCACAGTTTATACAGGTAACATTAATTTATTGATTTACTATGAAGTGTCCTTGCTATAGGTACAAGACGATTGAGTTAACTGCGCACCTGGCTGCTGTGACATCACATCGATGCTCTGGTACGGGACGGGGCGAACACGAGGTGTGCGGAAGTACGAGGGAGAGTCGCATTCTAGCGAGGTGCGCAGTTACAACTCAATCGGGTTGTAGTGGGTAGTATAACAGTGGATTATTGACCACTATAAAATGCAAATAATGTTATTTATTCTGCTTTTCCATTTCCAGGCGCGTCCAGTCATCCAGGATCGACCCAGGTTCATAGTAAGCGGCCCCCTAGCCGGTGAAAATAACTGTATCGGCCGAAATTCTGGACGCATCATACTTGTGTTCATTGTGTTAGGAGTAATCGCTATTCTTGTGTTTTTGGGTGTCTTCCTCCATAGAGAACTCAAGCGGTAATAAAATGTTGTGATAAGATGAGAATTTTAATTGAAAGACTGTGTTGAGAAAGTTATTTTTTCATGGGTAGTGTTTATTAAATTTGAATAGATGGCGCTTGAAGCGGACTTGCTCAATTGTGTCTATCTCAAACCATGATTATCAATAAGTTGAAAAAAAAAGGTAAAATGTCAAAACAACATTTGACGTGACGTTTTATTGTTATCAGCAGATTTTGAGAATTTATAAAAAATCGTGATTAATTTAACATAGATGGCTGTTAATTTATTAAAATGTCGTTCCCGAAGATAGAGGGATATGTTGTCACTGAAAAATTGGGGTCTGGAAGTTACTCCACCGTTTACAAAGCATATACAAAGGTAAGTTGGTATTGCAATTTGAAATCTCTATTTAAACATAATTTATCAGTTTGTTTTAGATAAACACCGACTTGTGTGTGATTTAATGATTTGTGCAAACCGTAAAGTTTAAATTTGCTTTGATAAAATGTGAAATAATTGTACATTTGCTCATTAAATTCAATTTGTGTTGTTTAGCTATTCTATTCACTGAACCTTTGTTTCCGCAACTTTTATGACATTTAAAGTACGCAGGTCAATAAACTTTAAGTTCAAGACAAACTACCCGAGTTCATTTGATAAAATTATCAAATAGATTTATTTTAAGTGATATTCCCAGTTGCCCCCGCAAAGATCGCCTCCACAGGGGGCAACTGGGAATTAATTAAAAAAAGACCCAGTCTGCACCACTCACCAAATGGATTAACAAATTATGAAAACTGTATGGATCAGTTTGGTAGTTTTTCATTTCATATCCCAAGGGGTGGATACTGGTTTTTATAAATTAATTCCCAGTTGCCCCTACTGAGGGCGACACTGGGGTATAGCTATGGGGTATAATCTAAGCATTTCCTAGAGGTGGGAAGGGTATGAGGTAATTACCTTCTCTATCCCCAAAAATGTGGATCCATAATTTAAAAATTAACCTGTGGGCTAAGTGTGAGTTTACATCAAACTGTATGAAAATAAAAACTTTAAAAAAATGTATGAAAATTTTAGTTCTTGAACGTCTTCGCTAGGGCGGTGCTGTACAATCTGTCAGATATTTATCAGATATATATTCGGTGCTTTTTGCATTTGCTTGTACTATAACAAGTCTGACGCAGAACTGACGGCCGATGGGGCAGCAGGGTTCTGGAAAGGAGACCGCGTACCGGAAAACGCAGCATGGGACGTCCACCTACAAGGTGGTCCGACGACGTCGTAAAGGTAGCAAGGAAGCGCTGGACGCAGGCCGCTACCAATCGATCAACATGGAAAGCATTGGAGGAGGCCTATGTTCAGCAGTGGACGTCCTATGGCTGAAATGATGATGATGATGATAACATAGTCGGTGGGAGCGGGTAGTGTGGTTGGGTGCTCGTGTCGGCGTCACTAAGCGGAAATCATTTTATCTATTTAAATATCTAATGACTAAAATGGTTGCAGGTGGGCGCGCGCTCGATCGTGGCCATAAAATGCGTGGACAAGTCGAGCATCAAGAACTCGGGCTCCGCGGTCGACAACCTCGTCACCGAGATCCGCCTGCTGAAGACGCTGGAGCACCCGCATATAGTTCACATGAAGCACTTCACTTGGGACGACAGGTGGGACAAATTAACCCTTTACCTATCATAAGGTGTAAAACCAATTTTTCTCTATCTATACTATTGAAAGGGTTAATAGTTCTAACTTTAATATTTTTATGTCAAATTGCCCCTTTTGTAAGGGGTTTTAGAATGGCCTTCTTCCTGAATGGGGGAAAATGGGAATTTTCGTGTGTAAATAAAACTAAAATTCCCAATATTATTCCCCCATTCAATTTCAAAATGTTTTTTAAAGGGATGTTCATAATTTTTATATTTTCTCATTTTGGAGTTAATTTTGTATTTAATTTTTTTACGAACAATAACTGTTTTCCAGAAACATCTACATAATAATGGAGTACTGCTGCGGCGGTGATCTCTCCAAGTACATACACAGATATGGGAGGGTTCCGGAGAAACAGGTTGGTGTTAAAAATCGAAAATAAAGATAGGAATCCATAGGAGTTAGCAAACCTTAGTAAATTTTTAATATGCCTGTTTAACATCTCTGACTCATTGTTTTTATCTTCCAGGTTTTATACTTCCTTCAACAACTAGCGTCGGCACTAAAATTTCTTAGAGAGAAAGGTATTCCTATAAATTATCAAAAACAAAATGAAAAAAATTAGGACCCGTACAATTTGTCATCATCAGCAATCAATTACTTAGTTGCATCAGTCATGTAGTAGTTATTTTTACTTTTTAGAATTTGATACTGAAAAAGTAGTTGTATTTGAGTAGCAGAATCAACCCTTTTTGTTTGATCTAGTATAAAAATTACACCCTGTACAATTTGTGTTTATCAGGTGTCGTTCACATGGATCTCAAGCCACACAACTTGCTGTTACACAAAGGGTCTGACGGAAAATATATACTCAAAGTGGCGGATTTTGGGTGAGTCAAGTCAACGATATGCATTTACTAATAGATAAAGTAGCACGTTATTTTGCCATGTCTTAGGCTGGATTGCACCATCTTACTTTTACTTTAATAAACGTCAAAAATCTGTCAAACTCCATACAAAATGCACCAGTTATTGTTATAGTTACGGTTAAAGTTAGGTGGTGCAACTTAGCTTTAGTGCAGTTCACGGAAACGACGCTCGATCTGCTCATTTGAACGCGTTGTTCAAAAATACCAAACGGGTTTTATAATTTCTTAATTTATTTGGTGTAAGTGGGGGAGACTGGGTCATTTTTTGTATACATATAAATTCCCAGTTGCCCCCACCAGATACGCCTCCATTGGTGGCAACTGGGAATTTGGGATAAGAAACTAGAAAAAATCTGAAAACGACATGCTAGTGTTCTCTAGAGTGTGTGGCATAATAGTATACCTATAAGATAAGTGCAGTGTATTATTTATTTATATTAGAGAAACAAACAATTTTGATATACAGACAAATAATCACAAAAAAATAGGACAGAAATCGCAAAGTTTCCACAATTAGGATGAATACAGAGTGCAGACTAAAAATTTGTCCATAGTTTCGCCCAGTACATGTGCAGTTCGTGGCGGCGCTGCGTGCGCGGCTCGCCATTATACATGGCGCCCGAGGTCGTGAAGGGAGACTACGACGCGCGCGTCGACCTTTGGAGCGTCGGTGAGTACACACACATGCAGAAAATCACACACTTTGTAAATGATAAAAATTGAAACAAATTGCTTGTGAATTTGTGATCTAACAATGGAAGTCATTGGGGGAGGCCTTTATTCAGCAGTGGACGTCCTGTGGCTGAAATGATGATGATGATGATGAAATGTTTGAATTTCCGCATTTCAATGTCTATACTATCTTCAATATTCGCGAATGTGAATGCGTGTAATGGCTTTCGTGTCGATCTTGTTTAATCCAAACATTAGTCGAGAAGATACAGGTTAATCAAATATTAGTTTTCATAAATACGTGTCATTATTTTGTGTTTTGTTTGTTAATTGCATTCGCCAAACATTCGCATAGTTTTTTGCAAATACGAATGTACAAACATTCGCGGATGCAAATGCGAACATCCGTTACATCCCTACCACCTTACTAATAAAAAGTTACACAGTTGTTGAACACTGTTTTAAAATGTCATTTCCATACTAAACGTCACTTTAAAACTGTTCAACGAGCGTGTAAGTTTTATTAGTAAGAGGGCTGAGAGTGTGTGCATTTGAGACACTTACTACAATCTGCGTTCATCATCATCATCATTTCAGCCATAGGACGTCCACTGCTGAATAAAGGCCTCCCCCAATGCTTTCCTCGTTGATCGATTGGTAGCGGCCTGTGTCCAGCGCTTCTCTGCTACCTTTACGATGTCGTCGGTCCACGTTGTAGGTGGACGTCCCACGCTGCGTTTTCCGGTACGCGGCCTCCATTCCAGAACTTTGCTGCCTCGCGTTTCGCGTTATAAAACAACTAGCTTTCCGCCCGCGGCTTTGCCCGCGTGGAATTTTGTCTGTCACAAAAAAACTTTATCGTTTCAAAAACCGGGATTAAAACTATCCTATGTCCTTTCCCGGGACTCAAACTATCTCTATGCCAAATTTCATCAAAATCGGTTCAGTGGTTGAGGCGTGAAAGAGAGACAGACAGAGTTACTTTCGCATTTATAATATTAGTATCATCTCGTTTCTGTTCTGCGCTGGCGTGACAACGTACGAGCACAGGTACGAGTGTGATTGATCACACTTCTATACTTCACACAAGCGGCGCTATAACACATTAATCTTATCGTTTGTGTTTGTAGGCGTGATAATGTACGAGTGCCTGTTCGGGCGCGCGCCGTACTCGTCGCAGACCTTCCAGCAGCTACTGGACAAGATCCAGAGCCAAGCGCCCATCCAGGTCAGTCCCGCCACAACATGCTAATATTAGATTTTAAACTTTCGCGTTCCGTTTCAATGAGGGCTATCGTTTTAGCGCTCACCAGTTGGCGCCACTGTAGAGTAAGGTCCTGTCACTTGCTAGTAGCGAAGACAGTGGCACCAACTGGTGAGCGCTAAAGTGGTAGGAGGACTATCGCATTTGCCCTCATCAAGATGGCGCCACTGTAGAGTAAGGTCCTGTCAATCGCCAGGGGTGCCAACTGTTAAGTATAAAAACGATATCCCTCATTAAAATAGTAAGGACCCGTGTCTTACTATTTAATCTAATAGGCTTAAGCTTGGAAATAAATAAATAAATAATATTTTAAACAACATGCTAATGTTTAAGGGCCTTCGATAAAATTCAAGTTTAATATACCGGGGTGGTAAACGCCATTTATTAGTGCCAACCACCACCCCGGTGGCAAGCTCGAAGGAGATAGATGGGAATAAAGAAAGATGGGAAAGGAAAATGCGCATTCACCGTTTTATCGTATCGCGATGGCGTATGTAATTTTACGAACAAGTTCACATACTAGACAGTATTCAGTGTGGTATGAAAATTTTCTTCTTTCTTTCAAATACGGACTTTCTGCATGAACACGCCTAGGGGATGAATATAAGGGGGTTGCACCGCCCTACTTGGATGCGAACGAAGAATTCATTATTTATGAATAGAATAATAGTATTAATAACACTATAACACTATTCTAACAAGTTAACAATCAAAGTAATAATAAATCTTCAAGGCGAGAGTGAATACGCACTTACAGGGCAGATTATGTACCATCCTACAATGCATCTCACTTAACACCAGGTGCGATTGCGGTCAAATACCTGCCTTGTTATGCATAAAAAATCGCAACTAATCCTTCACAGATCCCCAAAAACTCCTCAATCTCTCCCGGCTGCCTGGACCTCCTCACAAGACTGCTCCAGCACGACCCCGACATGCGGATATCGTACGATGACTTCTTCAACCACGAGTACCTGGACCTGGAGCACATGCCCAATAAGGAGAACTATGAGAAGGTAGGACTTTGTGGTTATTATTATATTGCAGGGGTGGCCAACTTGATTAGACATAAGATCTACTGTTTACTAACGAAACCCTGGGCGATCTACCACTTACATACTTCTTGAAATCTTAAATGAAACAGCATAGTTTAGTACACAATCATGTAGTATTTTTTGCCTTAATGCCACGATCGACTGGACTAATAGTCGCGATCGACCGGTTGGCCACCCCTGTTATATTGTATCGAAGCGTCGGTAAGGCCCAAAAGATAAGGAGACATGTAAAGGGCTACTTACTATTTTAAATTCTTTATGGGTGCCAAAATACTGGTAATAAATAAAATATGTATGATTTGATTTGTTATTCCCAGTTGTTCCACGGGGGCAAATGGGAATTTATTGATTAATATGTCCCAATCTTTGCCCATTTGGTAGTTTTTTAGTATTGCGTTCACGTAGACGCTATTGTGTCGTTTTATAATACCATTTGTCATAAGCGGGGATAAGTGGGACATTTTTGTAAATAAATTCCCAGTTTGACCCTAGTGGCCTCCCACTGGAAACAAGATCCGCTTTGTTAATCACATTTAATTGTTTTCCTGTGGTTGGTTTACTAAATAATTATAAATTATCTATGATCAATCTATTTATCTATATTCTATATCTATACTCAACAACAAATAAATCGCACCTTCCGCGACGCGAACTTTAAAGATTTTCTTCTGACACAATCATGGTGCCCCAACAATATTGGTGTTATTTGAAAGCCCAATAAATAAACTTAAAGAAAAACACATTTAACTTTTTTATAAACAATTAACAGGTACCATAAATGTGACTTGAAAAAAGGCCTCACTTGGGGCTCACCTCTGGGATCAATTAGACCAATTTTTGTGGTTATAAAACCAAATAATGATCTTACGTGTCCTTTTTAACAGATGGATAGCGATTAATCCCAATTTAACAGTTTTATAGCCATAAAAGTTGGCTCAAGCGTAACTACCTATTTTTTGAAGAAGTGACTCTGGATCCTTCTAAAAACACATTTTTGGGGTAAAAACCTTTCCTTTAATGAAATGAAGTTTAGAACTAGGCTTTTAAATGGTGCCAATATTGGTGGGAAGTGGGGATGCATACGTTTGAAAGTGCTTGTCGCGGGAAGTGCGATTTTTGTGATGACCAGTGTATTTATCTATATTCTACATCTATTACAGGCGGTGGCTCTAATAAAGCGCGCCATCGAGCTGGACTCGGCAGGGTCTTTGCCCCCGGCACTGGAGGCCTATAGCGCGAGTCTGCGGTACTTAGTGCCCGCAGCGTTAGCCGAGACAGATCCTGTGAGACGCAGTGCACTCACCGCCAAGCTCACCAGGTAACTTGTAGATTTGTAGTCACCTAGGTTCTATGTCATCGCATCATGTCTTCACCACATGCACACTTCACTGCGTGCGCCGCTGATTGGTTACGTTACAAGCGCAAGAGCAGCTTGACCTATCCGTATGAGTCCCAATGACTTCTCGATTGGCCAGTTGGTAGCGGCCTACATCCAGCGCCTTTCAACTACCTTTAAGAAGTCGTCTGTACACCCTGTGGGTGGACGTGTTACGCTGCGTTTTGCTACTTGATTGTGTAGTACACTATCCAGTAGTGCCAACCGATACCGCGCACTTGGTATATTCGACATTTTTGCGGGGTATGCGCTGTACGAAATAAAACCACGTCATTTGGATTTTAGTGTATTATTTTAGTTAAATATTGGCAAATTAATTTCCAAAAATGTGTGTTAAACGTCCTTCTCACATCCTAGGTATATGGAAAGAGCCGAAGAGATCAAAGAGTTCCTCAAGTGTCCCACGCCGCGCGATCCGCCGCGCCCCGACCCGGCGCGCTCCGACCCGCCGCGGCGGCGTCCCGATATAGTGGCGTGTTGTACTGCTAGCACTGCTACTACTAATAGCTATGACTTTGGTGAGTAAACTGGTGAGAAGGTAACGGAATGGAGACGTGACGGTAACAAAGTGGAGTTGTACCGGTAACAAACAGGATTTTTTTGTTTGTTACATCAAATTAAACCTATTTGAAAAGCCTCCGAAAATATCATTCATATTGTCACAGTAAATAAGTGACGTAATGACTAGAGTTCGGGCAGACAAGTTATTAGTGGCTGATACTTTGGTCGGGCAGTGTAGTGTATAGACATTTGTCTCGAGCGCATACGTCACAGCCCAGTCAGCGGTGGGGGCATTCGGCGTCCGACCGTGGTGCGGGCAGGTCGTGCTGTGTGCGTAGGCGAGCCAAATAATAATCCAATGGCGCAGATAATGGTGTACTAAAGTTTAGTAACTAAACTATAAAGGTAAAATAAGTCAGTATTCTTAGTTTTCAAGATAACGATAATTTAATTAAATAATCAAAATGTATTCCCATTATCCCCACTGGCCTTAGTAGTGGGGACGATGGGAATAAAAAAAATCTTAGTGCACTTTTTTGGATTACTTATTGATTTAGAATAAATACAGAAAGAAAGAAAAAGAAAAAGTATTTATTTGATGCGAGTATTAAAAGCATTACAAATAACTTAAACACTAAACAATAAGGTGACATTACACGTGAGTAAGCTGTCGTAACACGGTTGTCTGTAGGGCAGGCGCTCGCGAATGCTCGGAAATGCGCGTGCGAGCAGCCGTGCGCGTGCGAGCGGACTGAGGTGAACGGAGAAGTGGAGTTAGTGAGTATTGCTTAGAATAGCCACATATGTACGGTTTTTTATTTCTTATGCTGCTTTTAAACTGCTCGGAAATTAGCCGTCAAGTGAAAAATGAATGAATTTCATCCCCACTCCTCTGTTTTTTTTGACTTGACTCGGCTAATTTCCGCATAGTTTAAATCCAGCATTAGACAAAGCTCCCTCTCAGTGTTTGAAATACATAAAAAAAAACACTTTTTATGAAACATTTTTTTAAATTATGATTTTGACATCCCCTTGAATCAATGAGCACCATGTTGGTTTGTGGCTTTATTCTACCGTAAATTTGTAAATTCCGTCAATTTATAACCTTACGCGTTATATTAAATGTAAAACGTCCATTAACAATTGCAAGATTTATAAATTATCAAATGTATTACCATTTTGCCCCATCGATAGTCTGACAATAGTTGAATGAAACATCAATTTTTTCGCAACCATCTTCAGTAAAAGAAACGTGTGTTATAACTTTGTTTGTCGATTGCAGGCGGTTCCCGAGCCTTCGCTCGCGAGCGCGGCGGATGCAAAGACTGCGAACGTTCGCTCGCGAACACCCACGCGCTTCGGCTTCAAGCGTCTGTTCGGGCGGCAGCAGCCCGTGCCTTATTTGAACAACAACGACTCTAGCATTGTAAGTACACGACAGAACATCAAACCAAACAATGTTGCATCTTGCAAAAAATAAGGAGACATGTAAAGTACCCCATAAGGGCTACCTTTTCTTTTTTTATTATTTACATTTTGACGTTCATAAGTGCCACTTGTGGTCTAAACTGAATAAATATTTTCTTGATTTTTTTTTTCTTATGTAGGTGTGATACTTAAGTGCTGGTTTGCAACATATGGGGTAGCTGGCACCTTCTCTATCCCAACTATTGTAAAGGCGAAAGCAACCTGTCTGTTTTTACGCTTTCACGCTTAAACCATTGAATCGATTTGGATGAATTATGGTATCTGTTACTTGAACTTGGCTTGACACGCTACCGTGGTGTCTAGTCTAGATAGACAGAGTCCCGGAAAAGAACAGGACAGTTTTTATCTAGGTTTTTGAGACAGAGACGCGCGCGGTGAAGTTTTTCTGTGATAGACACAACGAATTTCTAGGCTGTCAAAAAGTAGGGACTTTTTTAAACACAATAGGGATGATGACTGGGTAATGAAATCGAAATTCTATTAGTCCATCAGACAGGTAATAAAAAAATGTTGTGCACATACAGGGTGTCCCGTAATGTAACGTCAAGCCGGAACTGGGTGTTGAGGCAAGTTGTGCTGGTTATCAGAAAAATATAAAAAAAAAAATTATGTGGCATATTTTAAAAATAATAGGCATTTAAAAAAAATCAATAAATTCTACTCCAGGTGACGGTCCTTTTGCTCGTGTTGCCACAAATCTTCACTTTTTCCAAATTTTTTTTTTGTTATGTAACCCTGAATAATGCTTCTCTAAATTGTTATCAAAATTACAAAACCAGCTGCTCCAGCTTGGATGAAAAAAATACACTATTCCCAAAAAAAAATTCAAAATAAAATTTTTGTCTAGTTTAAACTGACTGTACTGAAAAAAAAATGTACTACGCGAGTGTGGCAAGTGACGTCATAATTTGGCGCATTTAGTAAGGATTCCAAAATGGTACGGTACACTTGGTAAATTTTTGCGGTGATTGTCGACAATTTTTGGTTTTTTGGAAATAGTCCCGTTTTTAACTTTATCTACCTTGGTTAAAAAATATTATTCTAATGTGCCCAAAATTCAAGTTTCTGTGACTGACTACCGTACAGTCAGTCACAGAAACTTTTGTCACCATGACAGTAATTAGTAGTTGACATACTGTGACAAAAGTCACCCGTGCGCGCGCCTTTACTACCTGCTCTGCCTGCACTTGTACTTGGTAACAGGGATAATAAGGATATGAAGTTTCGGTTATGGATACGGTTACGGATATTAGAATAATATTAAAATAGGTAGTTGAAACAAACCACAGCTAATTTTCATAGTGGACTGTACTATACGATAAACATGTCAGTCAATTTGACAACCTTTGTCGGAAACATTATTCAATGAAAATATTGTCCGAACCCTTAGTATTTCTCTTCGACAAATACTTTAACACATTGTGAACCACTTTTCTTTCACGACTATAAAAAGATTTTAGCAATTTAATTCACAAAATCAATTGCGCACATTTAAAATAAAGTTTGTTTACACTTTGACAGCAATAGACTGACATGCAAGGTGACATGTCAATGAAGTTTTCAGTTACTGTTGCCATTAAAAGAAATTAGTACCATTAGTTTTCCGCAACATGGCGAGGGTTTTTATGTTCCTGGTCAGACTATATAAAGAGCTGTGGTTTTCTGAATAAAGTAAAATAAAAACAAAATAATATAAACACTATTCGGTGCTGTCAAATCCATCCAATGTGACAATGTAAAAATAATGTTTTCTCTTTCCAGACTGACACCACTGAGAGAGCTCAGAAAGTGCCTGCAGGCGAAGCCTCCGATGGATGCCGTATCACGTGAGTTCGAGAGAATCTTGGTCTGGAATCTAGATCGACTGACAGCTAGGTTTATACGGGACAACTTTATACCGTCAGGATAGTGTGGAGAAAGTTTATCGCCCGTATTCACAAACATTATGTATAATAATGATATGTACCATCCTAGACTGCATCTCACTTAACATCAGGTGCGATTGTGGTCAAATACCTGCCTTGTTATGCATAAAAAAAAAAAATAATAAGTATGTATTTACAAAATAAAAGTATTTAAGTATGTTTATATCCGTTGTCTAGTACCCATAGTACAAGCTTTGCTTAGTTTGGGACTAGAAGCGCAGTGTTTAAAATGTCCATGGATATTTATTTATTATTATTATTTATTACTATGAGGTCTCACAGTGCGCGTGGATGCACAGGGACTAATCACAGAGCTCTATTCAACGCTGCGTTCGATTTACTGGTTTACTTAAGCAAGCATCGTTTGTGAATACGGGCATATAACTGTCACACAAGAAAAGTGACTATTTCAATCACTCATGAATCGTTGCTTTGTGTATCGTATGTAGTTTTGAGCTTGAGTTTTATGCGAGCCAAAGTGCATTATATTGAAGATATTCGGCTAGAATTTTTAGATAATCAATGAACACACTGGAACATTACGGCTGGGTTGCCATCTTACTTTAACTTTGACAAACGTCAAAAATCTGTCAAACTCTATACAAAAATCACCGGTTACCGTTAAAGTTACGGTATAAGTTAGGTGATGCAACTCAGCCTTAGTTTTTATAGTGACGATTTACGACCATACCTACTTTTTTTTTATGGCAACCAAACCTCTCTGGGAGGTTTATTTCTGCCAATGTCGAGTGAAAAAAGCGCTTGATCGCTTATAAAGAATGTCGTAGTCGTACTAAAGTAAGGCGTACGGATGCAGTATGGTTAAGTTCAACATAGCGAGTATTATTTAATGCCAAAATCGCGAAATCTTATGCGTAGTACGTATACATCGATGATATTTTGGTATGTAAATAATTCAAAATAAAACTCTTTTTTTCTCTTAACTCCAGGGATAGATTCTAGTGCGCTCGGGTTTACAAATTAGTATTGGCCTGAGGAACAAAATGCACTATGGTTTCATTCTGGGCAGCACTTGGTCCAACTTCCATACATGGATTGGCACTGTCCTTTGTACACTAAAGTCCATTAAATAATAAATTGAAACCATTAAAACAGATCGACCATGCTTCCCGTTCAACTACCCTCCACGGAATCCACCATATCTACAACTTGGTCGAATTAACTGCACAGTTAGCTCGATCGGGTTAGTTGTCTATGATATTCCAGAAAACCATAGATATCAACCACAAAAGCTACAGATTTAGAAATCATTCTCCAAAACTCCGTTTCGCAACGATTATTTTTCCTGACGGTACATCAATGCAATATTAATAATACTTCTTACCTACTTGACTGGTGGTTAGCACGCTTTTAGAGCTTGCTGGTTTTTAACACTTGATCTTTTAAAATAATTACAGGTTGTTGATTTTTTAATGTGCGATTTAAATGTGTTTTGTTGTATAAATAAGTAGTATAATGTACATTTTATAATTGGGTAGTTATGACCACACCCTATTTCTATAAGTTTTAAGCTAGTTTCTTTAAAAAAGATAAGGAAGCTATGACGTCACTAGTTGGTCTATTTAAATTGAATTGAGTCATATTTTTAAAGTGACTAAATATGTATATTAATGTGAACTAGTTCGGTTTTCAGAGCTAGAATGAAGTAATATTTCAGAGACTGTGTGCCTTAAAATTATTTGGTTATAGCCTGACCAGGAACATAAAAACCCTCGCCATGTTGCGGAAAACTAATGGTACTAATTTCTTTTAATGGCAACAGTAACTGAAAACTTCATAGACATGTCACCTTGCATGTCAGTCTATTGCTGTCAAAGTGTAAACAAACTTCATTTTAAATGTGCGCAATTGGTTTTATGAATTAAATTGCTAAAATATTTTTAAAGTCGTGAAAGAAAAGTGGTTCACAATGTGTTAAAGTATTTGTCGAAGAGAAATACTAAGGGTTTGGACAATATTTTCATTGAATAATGTTTCCGACAAAGGTTGTCAAATTGACTGTCATGTTTATCGTATAGTACAGTTCACTATGAAAATTAGCTGTGGTTTGTTTCAACTACCTATTTTAAAAATTTTGTCACTTTCTAAGTGATGAATTTTATGGGATTGGGAAAGAAGTACCGAGTTTGAAGCGTTCATGAGCAGACATTCCAGTTGAATATTCAAGTTCTGAATTTGATTATTGATGAATAATAAAATAAATCTACTAGCTCGATTGATGGTTTCATTTAATTTATTTAATCAGGTTACCTATAATAACATTTTTTCGTTAATTTATGAAAATATCAAATTAGCCCGTAATCCTGAATCCTGATACATAAAGTTCGCATATTAATTTAACACAGGTACGACTGTACTCAGTGTTGCACTATCAAATGCAATTGAGGCGCCTCTATGCCAGGGTTTTTATGTTCCTGGTCAGGCTATAATTGTGTCAACTGCCCAATATTGTGTACATTTTGAAATTGTTAATAAAAGGCTGTTTTGTTATGTTGCGAGTTAATTTTGAATGATATGCATAATAATAATAATAAACTTTGTTACATTATTTCCAATTTTGGTTTTCTTAAAACTCGATTGATCGATTACTGATCACAAAAGGCACTGTATCATTGCCTACTAACGAAGTAATTATTATCAACGTAGTGTCGCCTCTGTAATAATAGAACAAAAATAATATTTCATAGGTTTGTGGGATTATTCCCAGTTGCCCCCACTGGGGGCAGTTGGGAATTAATTTACAGGAATGTCAGTCTCCTAGATTTATAAATATTGAGCGCGGTAAATTAATTGAATATCATCATTATTATACCTATTTTTTTTTTTATTCAGAAAAATGTATCATGCATTTTATGTTGTTGCTTATGGTGCCAGCTGGTTTACGAATAACCCGTTTTCATTTGTTCATCTATTCGGTGAAAACGGGGGAGACTGAGACATCTTAGTAAATTAATTCCCAACTGGGAATAACCTGGTTTGTGGGTTGACTAAATTAAAACACAATATACTTATCACGAATTTATTTAGTCCATACCTTACAACTAAGACTACCGCACAATATAAGAATATTGCTATTGATTCCTAACAACACAGCTAAAATATGCAGCTGTCCCTTTCAAATATCTATGGTCCGTTACAAACAAAACCTAAACTCGGTCATAGTTTCTGTCCTATGATTGATCTAAATTATAGGGTGTCGCTTTAAGTATGAATAACAAAAACGATAAGATTCTAAGGCTTGAAATGAAGCAACTTTCCCCCAGAAAAAAGAAGGAAATTCAAATCTTACAACAAATAATTACCTTTCTACACAAATTGTCATCAGTAATCAGCCAATGAATATGGGGACGACAATTTTTTTGGGGAAAGATATTTTTCCTGTAGTAAAGTATGGCATTTGAGCAGTAGAATCAATTCTTTGTTTGATCCATTCTTGAAGCGACACTGTACTGTAATTCAACCAATAAAAACTTATATGCCTTAGTTTGGACTGTGTTTTGAGTTTTTATAACAGACCTAGGACGATAAATTTAAAAATAGATCTCACTCCTTCCTACCCCAAGTGATAGGAAACTAAAGATTTTACACAAAATTGATTTGAGCTAGGAATTAAAATGGATGCTGTATGCATTAGTAATACAATAAACTTAATAAAATGAATAATACAACATTGGTACTAATAAAAAAGTCCAATTCTTAAAAACATTCTTAAACGTAAGATCATAAAGTGCTAGTTAATCTCAGATATTATAAAAAATGCGTCAAAGAATTGGTGTTACAGCCGTAGTAGCTAGTCGACTTAAGAGACGAATTTCCCTAATATATTTTAAACTATAGGTCCATACAGTAAGGCTGAAAATAGAGTGAATCTTGCCAATTTGTGGCAAGCTTATAAAAATTTAATACATAGTGTACAAGGACTATTGGAGAAATTAAAGGTATAATAGCCAGTTCCTCTAAGATTAAGGATTCCGAATGAAAATAGATTACAACTTCGGGCTGATCATTACTTTCTATCAGGTGAGATGCAAGCCGAGAGCTTACCCGTTGTAGTAAACAATATCCAAACCATAATTTTATTGTGCGTTGGCAACGAATCAGCTGGATATTTTAAGCTGTGTTAAAACTATCCACCTGGCAACGTGTGAATTGGCAACATTGCCGGACTAAGTGGCAATTTGGCAACGTTGTGATTCATTGTTAAAAAAATAGTCTTTTTTAAATGTTTGTTTCAATTCGTTGTAATTTTTATTCGCCACATACCAGTATTTTACTGTAAAATCCACCGTATTGGTGTTGCCAGTACACAAGCACTATAGGATTGTTGCCAGTACACAAGCACTATAGGATTGTTGCCAGTACACAAGCACTATAGGATTGTTGCCAGTACACAAGCACTATAGGATTGTTGCCAGTAGAATAATTTACTAGCTTTTGAATACGTTCTAGAGTTTACGCGAACGCTAAGCGACTTGTCCCTTTTCAACTTTCAATGTTGAATGAGACAGAATGCTCTAAAATGAGAATTCTATTAGTTGCTATAAATATAAAATAATGCTTTTCTATTTCATAAGACAAATTTATTTTTGTCAGGCTTTTCATTCTGAGTGTAAACGTAATTCTGGCTTGTACTATTAGTACTAACCTGCACAAGGGTGGCAAATGGGAATAGGGTGGATTTTGGGAACGTCATCTTCTCTTGTAACATGAACGTGGCTGAGCGTAAAATACAATAGAAGCGCGGCCGTGCCGTGGGGGTGGCGGTTGGGAAGATCAGTAGTTGTATTCGTCCCCGTTTGCGTCCTCGGGATTGTATTTGTTCTCGTCGTCGCGCGGCTCCTGCTTGATCTGCACGTCCATGGGCGGGATACTGAACTCGGGGTAGTCTGGAAGGAGAATACAAGGAATTATTAGTTTTTTGTACAATATTGGACACTATTTGAATGAATGTCGTCTAATTAGAAGAGGATTTAGAATAAGTTGCCTCATATTTTTATTCTTTACGATGGAGAAAGCAACAAAACTAAATTTTTATTCCTATTTGGATGTGACAAATGAGTTAAATTAGGAAGCTGCGATCTCTGCGGGGATGACTGGGGAATAAAGCCCTCTCTCTAGCAAGTGTCATAAACCGCAGCGTTTGTTAGTCGTATACCTCGAAATCAAAAAAACCTTGTAGCTTTTCACATATTCGCATTTCACCGTGATAGCGTTTTTTGTTGTAGCGTGTAATATCGGTAGTATATTTTGTTACTAGCATATATTTTTAACAGATTTTTACAACAGTAGCCAAGTGCTCTGGAATTACAACATCAGCAGTGGTTCGAAAAGTACAATTTCCAGTGTGCCTTTTTCGATTTCGATACAGAGCGTGTCGCTTTGTAAAAAAGGATGGTAATTTATGTGCATATTCCTCAGTCCGGCTGGAAAGTAAATCTACTATGATTTTTTTAGACAATTGTAATTAGCGATCAAAAATTATACTACAAGAATAAAAAATCTATTCAGAAATTTTGATATCGCGGCGAAATGCGAATAGGTGAAAAGCTACAAGGATTTTTTGATTTCGAGGTATACGATTAACAAACGAACCGCAGGCAGGTATTGTCGTGGAGGGATGGAGTCGTAGTAGTGTCGAACCTCAAAGGGTTACAGGGTCAATACAGTGTTTTAGTGTCGTAAGTAACACGGGACTATGATAGGTCTCGTGCACAGGTGATATAGTCTCGTGTCGAGTCTTGTCATGGCGTGTCGCGCGTTGTATAGTCCCGTGCCATATCATAAATAGTTATTAAAATTTCTTAGCGATTAGAGTCGCTTCTCAAACTAAATTTTAAATAAACAACTTGAAAAAATCGAACTGCCTAAGGCGGGAATCGAACCCACTTGAGCGGTGTCGTGTCCTATAGTCCCATGTCGTGTCGTACAGTCCTGTGATCGCGTCGTGTCGTACGTAACGTCGTTCCCGTGTCCCGGACACTGTATGCTAAACAAGCACCTATACAACATAGGTGTCACAGACAGCCCACTGTGCAGGGGGTGCATGGAGGCAGAGGAAACACCGCAGCGTGTGCTCATGGAGTGCAGTAGCGTGGAAGAACAACTTCGATCACCATCGTCGCTACAGGAGGCCTGCAGCAGCCTAGACGGGCTGCTCGCCTTCTGGGGTGGTTGGAGTAGGAAGATAAACCACAAATCGCGCACAATGGCCCAATCATGAGGCTAAGTGCGGTATTCGATTGCCCTGCAAAACTAACTAAACTAACTAACTAACGTACCGTCGTGCGGCTCCTGCTTGACCTTGACGTCCTCGGCCTTGAGCTTGGGCTCGCGGCGGTCGCGGTCGCGGCGCGCGCGCTTCTTGTCGCGCCGCTCGGAGCGCGCCCGGCCCGCGCGCCGCTCGGAACGGGAGCGGGAGCGTCTGCGCCTTCGACTGCTGCGGGAGGGAGAACTTTTATTTTTAGGGCTGACTTTTCAATCGTCGGATATAGATGACCCACGCTGAACCTTTTACCGCTTTTGGAACTATAGTTCTAAAATACTGAACTGTCCTATGCATGACATTGACAGTGGGGCGCCACCGTCAATACCGGATCGATGGTTCCCATTTTTGCCATGTTGGAAACCATATAGTTGAACGATGGTAGCGCCTCCCTGTCATTGAGTTTGGCGGGACAGTTCAGCGTGGGTCATCTATATAACTTTTTGACTGAAGAATAAACTTGTCATTTTGACATATTTTCCACACTGAAACTGTCAATCTGCCAAACTTATTCTTCAGATAAAAGTTATCCGTTGATTGAAAAATTAGCCATTAGAAACCAACGGCATTACAATGAGTAAATCTTAAGGTAACTTAATTATAAGTATGGCTAATTATAGGTTTCCTTGGAATAACCTTAAAGTAAATCTACCGTTCGGATTACCGAGACGCAAACTCCAAAAGACAAAACCTAGAACATTACAAATAACTTACTTACATAATATTATTATGAGAAGTAAAAATACACATTTTAGGAAACTTAATGCACAGAGAGCTTTTTCACACTAGCATTAGTTCATGAACTCATTTTGTGCCAAAATCGGGGCAAAATCATCTTCCCCTGACAGTTAATCTTTACACTAAATTTCCCATTTTCCCCCATTCAAGAGAAGCCTAGAGGGGCAGATGGGAATGTAAAATTTTGTGAAAATATCCTTTTTGACAGTATTGTATGAATTTTTATATTAATTTATGATACATCTACGCTGGCCTACAAAAAATAGTTTTTTTTTTTAAATATTTTAAATCTCAAACTTCTATATTTTAGAAAATATAGGTTTGCAGACCAATGTATTTGATTGGCAATACAGCTTTCACTAAATTCTCCCCCCATCTGAATGTATGATTTTCCCTGAATTGTCTAGTTTCCCATCTAATGCTCGTTTTCACCATCAATACCTAATTTTTAAGTGACCCATATGGTAAAACATAACAGGAGTTTTGTTTCATAGGGGTCACTTAAAAATTAGGGATTGAACCGAAAATAGACATAAAACTCACAGCTATCCTTTTTTAATACTATTTTTGATTTGATTTATCCTGGTAAAGTATTATGCTCACCTGTCGGTAGCCTCGTCGTCCTTCGTGCGGTCCCGGTCGCGCCTTCTGGAGCGGGACGTGGAGCGGCGGCGCGAGCGGCTGCGGCTGCGGCGCCGGCCTGAGGAACAAATGGTGATTTTATGCATTTAACATTTTGCGCTTTTGACATTATGCGCCTAAACCGCATTCTGGGCACCATGTCGCGTTGTTTGGACATCGATTTATGACATATTTTTTTATTTGTAAATTCTTGTAAATAAATAAATAATATGCAAACTACGTTCGTCAATGCATCGGATTATAGGCTGCAAAGCCACTCGTATGGGGACAATGGTGATTATTTCACTTGCAAAGACAATACTATTGTTGGAAAGTATGTATATCAAAATAGTAATAGTAATTAAAAAAAATAAAAATAAAAGACAGTCGTAAGTCAGCAACTGACTCGTTTTACTTATAGGTTATGGGCCCAGACCCATTTTAAGTGAATAAACAGTTTTATTGTAGTATTTTTCGTGTTGAGTCAGTTAAAATGAGTTCCAGTTATCTCGCAAACGTGCCAAAGCTAAAAGGTCGCGAAAATTTCGACGATTGGGCGTTCGCAGTGGAGAACTTGCTAGTTCTGGAGGGTGCAGAGAAGTACCTAAAGCAAGAAGGAACGGGTGCAGTCGCAGAAGCGGCAGATGCAAAGACTCGAGCAAAAATGATTTTGACGATTGATTCATCATTATTTGTGCACATAAAGGATACAACGACCGCGAAGGAATTGTGGACAAAACTGCGTTCTTTGTTCGACGATTCAGGATTTTCACGGAGAATAACGTTGCTTCGTCACCTGATTTCTATAAGGTTGGAAAGCTGTGAAAATATGACGAATTATGTGACACAAATAGTTGAAACGTCTCAACGTTTAAGCGGAACAGGATTCGCTATAAATGATGAATGGGTTGGTTCATTGTTACTTGCTGGTTTACCTGAGCGATTCATGCCTATGATAATGGCGATAGAGCACTCCGGGATTCAAATAACCGCGGACTCGATCAAGTCGAAATTACTTGATATGGAAGTGGAAGATCTAAGTGAAACGGAACGTAGCTCGGCATTAGCAGCGAAATGGCAGAAAAAACCGGTTAAACAGAACAGCACTAGCAAACATGGCGGACAGACAACCAGTACGTCAAAGTCGGGAAATGTCAACAACACNTGGGAGATTGTCGATGCTCCAGATGGCGCTAGCGTAGTACAGTGCAAATGGTTATTTAAAAAGAAAACTGAATGTAATGCTAAATTATTCAGGATTGCATTGGAATTATGCAAAGAGAATTTTAGAGTATTTGTTAAAAAACAAAAGTTATTGTTTGAGATGTTCTAAAGTAAAAAGCAAAGAACTGCAGATAAACTCTCAGTAGCTGTGAGGCAGAGTACATGGCTTTGTCAGAAGCATGTAGAGAGAGGCTATATATTTGCAAAATTTGTAATGTGAATTGATAAGTTGTTACAATGATTTTATGCAAGCACTTGGTATTGTTTTGATAAAAGTAAATTTAATTATTATATCCTAGTTTTGTGTTTGTATAGACTGTGAGATTGTAAATGTATAGTGTAATAGATATTTAGATTATTTGCTATTTTGATATAGTGGGGGTGTTGGAAAGTATGTATATCAAAATAGTAATAGTAATTAAAAAAAATAAAAATAAAAGACAGTCGTAAGTCAGCAACTGACTCGTTTTACTTATAACTATATTAAACAACAAGCGTATCAGCTAATAGGATGCAAAGTGGGATATTTAAATCAAAGGTTGTGATTGCGAAATACTATAGGTATTAAAAATTCTACATTTATTTTAATAGTGAGTCAGAAAAAGGATTTTTGTTTGATGGTAGTACCTACAGTAGAATCCGTTTAGTACGACATTGCTTATAACGAGCGACCGCTTTTAGCGACGCACATTTTTGATTTGGTTTGTTGATTTGTTGAGAAATAATGTAAAAAAATACTTCTTTAGTACGACGTCCGGATTATAATCGGATTCTACTGTAGTTGTGATTACGTTTCTAACAGAATTGTTGTAAATGATAAAAACTGTAGTAGACCAAGTATAGCAATTGTTATACAGGGTGTCTCAAAATTTGCACGTCACACTGACACCAGAGGAAAATGAACTTAAGACGCATCTAACAAGTATATTAAGTCCATTTTTAAAAATAACTATGTAATATGAGTCATATTTCAAAACTCATAAACTTTTCTATGGAAATGAATTAAAATAAAATTGGTCATATCTTAAAACTTATGAAACTTTTCTATGGAAATATTAAGCTAGTTCGATGCGTCTTAGACTCAGCTACCTCCAGTGTCAATGTGACGTGCTAATTTTGGGACACCCTGTATGTATGATATGTGTCTTCCAATACATTATAATGCTCAGTTATGTGTACTCACGGTCCCGGTCCCGGTCGCGGTCGCGGTCGCGGTGCTGGTCGCGGTGCTGCTCCAGCCTGTATCTCTCTCGCTCGCGCTCGTTGTCCTCGCGGCCCGAGTGCTTGATGTTCACGTCCGCGCCGCCGCGCCGCGTGCCGCCTAGCCCGCCGCCTGGGAACACACGATTCGATGTTAGTCATGGAGACTTATTTATTTTTATCCACAACGAGGAAGCTTTTAGCCTGTATCTCACTTGATGGTAAGTGATGATCAGGCCGGAGGTGGAAGCGAGCTTCACCCGGAATCCTCAACCACGGAGGAACTGGCTATCTTATCTTTAACTGCCGGAACACAACAATGCTGTTAACATTGTTGTTATGACGACAGACTTAGGTAAGATGGTGGTAGCTAGCCAGGCGGACTTAGAACAAGCCCTACCACCAACCAAACCGAACAGAAAAATATGCCCCCACTGGGAATCGAACCCGGGACCTCTGCGTCTGAAGCAGGTCTTTGCTGAGACGCATGGAACAATACATTAGAAGAAATCAGTTTATCCTAAGGGAGCATAATATCAAAGAAACAACTAGTTTAAATACGTGACCACTCCATTCCTGAGAGTCGAGGGTTAAGGCTATTGGTCAAGGCAAATCAATTCTGATGGAGAATTAACAAAGAAACAAGCTAAGGGCCCACGCCCACGGTGACTTTGTTTTTGACCAAACAAACCAGACGCAGCCACTCCTAACAAAATAATCAATTAAGTATTCACAGCAATGTGGAACAGTAGAACAAAATAATAAACAATGATAGTAATTCGTGAGTTATTAACAACAGATACTTTTATACCAAATAAAAAAACCAATCGGTATCAAACCCACGAGCCTTCGCTAGCCGAGCGACTACACTGACCCAGAGCTCAGAAAGATACTAATGCCCGTTTTCACCATCAATCCCTAATTTTTAAGTGACCCCTACGACAACAAAATTACTGTTATGTTTTACTATACGGTTCACTTAAAAATTAGGGATTGATGGTGAAAACGGGCATAAGACATTTATTTATTAGATATTACATTGAATGGATAACCCCGAAATTTTCAAGTAAAACACGCTGTTACGGCAAGTTTCCACATACAAACATGTAGGGTAGTTCTACAATATTATAGCCAACATACCTAGCCGCCTCGGCAGCCATCCCTTGACAGTCCTGGCTCGCTCCACGTCCACCAGTACCCGTTTGCCGTCGATCTTCTTGCCGTCCGCGTGCTTGTAGGCCGCTGTAATGAGGGTAGAGTTAGACGGCGCGCGCGCGGCGTGGGTACTTTGTGAGGAAACTTTTTGAGGGTAGGTATATTATTATATCCCCATTTTTTGTGGGGATAGATGTTTATCAAGCAAAAAAAAAGTACCTTGTGTCAACTTCGTCCATAGATACGATATGATACGATATGAACCATAGATAAGATATGAAGAGATTTAGTATTGTGCATACCGGCACATACCTCATGAATTAAAGAATTTATATGAGATTTAATATTGAAAAAATATATGCTTTTTAGGGTTCCGTAGCCAAAATGGCAAAAACGGAACCCTTATAGTTTCGTCATGTCCGTCTGTCCGTCTGTCCGTCTGTCCGTCTGTCCGTCTGTCCGTCTGTCACAGCCGATTTACTCGGAAACTATAAGTACTACAGTGATGAAATTTGATGGGAATATGTGTTGTATGAACCGCTACAAAATTATGACACTAAATAGTAAAAAAAAGAATTGGGGGTGGGGCCCCCCATACATGTAACTGAGGGATGAAAATTTTTTTTTCGATGTACATACCCGTGTGGGGTATCAATGGAAAGGTCTTTTAAAATGATATAAAGTTTTCTAAAAAACATTTTTCTTAAAGTGAACGGTTTTTGAGATATCAGCTCTCAAAGTCGTAAAAAGTATGTCCCCCCCCCTCTATTTTTATAACTACGGGGTATAAAATTCTAAAAAAAATAGAGGTGATGCATGCTAATTAACTCTTTCAACGATTTTTGGTTTGATCAAAGTATCTCTTATAGTTTTTGAGATAGGTTGATTTAACTGTAATTTTGGTTAAGTTATTGTGCTTACACTGAAAACGATGGCTGAACCTTATAAGATAGATCAAAAAATATACTACAGTATTGTACACCTTTTAAAATCCGCGATGATATAAAATCTTTATAATGTAGGTACTTTTTACGAGAAATATTAGCTTATTCAAGCAATACGCCATTAATCCTTATCCAGTAATGTACCTTAAATACATTGTGCATTTGATAAAGTTTAATATTACAAATGTGATTGTTGAGTAATAATAGGTTAAACATATCCATCGAACCAATATTTTTAAAACGCGTTAATCCTATAGATTATTATTACATCGATTCAAGAAGATCGGTCGCTCGCTGCGCTGCAGCGCGTGAGTTGCGGGGCGTGGTCTCGCGCGGGAGCGGGGATAAGATAGCTAACCGCGTCGACCCGAACGGGCAGACACGTGAGGGCAGACGTCGTTGTCACTTGTGCGCGCTAAGAGAATTTCATCGTTCCCATTTACTTCTTTCGCAAGTCGAATTTGGCGTTGAGACTTTTTAATATTGAATTGTACCTATTATAAAAAATAAGTAAGTAGGTATACTGGTTTAATAGGTGCTATTAAACCGGTCACGTACTAATAAATCCCCCAATAATATAAATTCCTTTGTTTTTGGTGCAAATTTTAGTGTTTCGTAGCAGGTTTTTAAAATTTCTAAAGCTTATTGTATATCATCTAACAATGGATACTTTAGATAATACGTTTTCCTACATTCTGAATTATAATAACTATATCGAAGATGATGTGGTTCGCGCATTTCATGAAAAGTTACTTCGGTGCACATCATTTAGACCGCGTGAGCTAGAATTATTTCAACACCCTGAACTGATTGAACCTGTACCTAAAAATGAGACGCACCTTCAAGTAATTTATGACGGTGACGTGGGATTAGTGGGGCACTGGAGTTGTATTTATTACATTAATGGAATACTGCGTGTGTACGATAGTCTTGTTGGTGTTCTAGGAAAATCGCAAAAAATATATGTAAAAGCCTTGTTTCCGTATCTATCGGAGTCATGTATTCAGTTTCCAAGTGTTCAGCGACAACCGAATACTATTGATTGTGGTTTGTTTGCCATTGCTTTTGCCACCTCTTTAGCTCGGAATATTTATAAATACATATATAAAATTAATATTCATACATAAAAGTACAAGGCAAAATATCGGGAGAGTTTAGGCTCCATTCACCAGGTGTATAAATTGACATAATAAGTTTATTATATTTGCTGCTACGGAACCCTTTGTGCGCGAGCCCGACTCGCACTTGGCCGGTTTTCTTTATTAAATTTGCCTTTGCCTTGTTGTTTTTAACTGTATTAGTAGTGCATAAGTAAAAGTACAAAACAAAATACCAGAATTTAAAAGATGTGATTTTTGAAGAGAATTCGCTGTTTTATTTGCCCCCACTCATGCACGTTAATAACCTACCATTGTTACATGGTAGTTGAAAATTTCCTCAAAAAGTACCCTCAAAAACAGATTTGAAGAAGTTGACTGTTACTTCTTAAAATATTTTTGTTTTTTTACTGATTAAAAATTACAATAAGGCTGTGTTTTCAGTGAAGCGGAGCTCAACTCTGCCTGTGGAAACCCAGCCTTATGATTCAAACAGAACAAAAGATTAATTACATTAACATTAACATTAACAAGGTTTATATGAATTTTGAATATAATATTCATATAAACATTAAAATTGACTGTGCATTGTAATTTTTTTTATTAAAAAATGCACAGTCAAAGCAAAATGTTTCAAATTATTATTTTCTTTTTTTATGGTACAAAAATTACCAAAAAATAACAATTTGAAACTTTTTTAAATAGTTTTTTTGAGTAAAGCAGTAAAAAAAACCTGTAAAAGACATGGGATACCTACCGACCAAGCCGAGAGACGACGTTTAACTCGATACAACGATAATTACATAGAAAATTTTCATACCCACCGTTTTTTATACCTACCGTTTTATATTTTTTACTTACTTTCCAACAACTATCCATCCATTTTTTTATTCACGATGTAATAAACCATTTTTACCTGGGCGCTATTACTTTACCTTTACTTTAGCGCGTCAAACTAAATATGTAAACGACACTACATTTTTGGTTCAAAAAAATATTTTTTTGCAATTTTTTGAGACTTTTTTTTAAATTAAAAACTTGTATGTTGGCATCTTACCACCACATACAAACCTATTTAAACGCTTGGCCGGTTTACAGTTGTTGGTAGGTCTTTACGGCTGGGTCTGTGGTTGAATAGAAAAAAATTACTCGTTAATCATACGTCACAGGCGGGCTAAGTCGGCGGGGCGGCGCCCTGTGCCGGATCTTGTTGGATCAGTCTCGGTACGCCAATTTCAGCTTTGTGGCTTCGGCCTAAAGTATACAATTGCATCTTCGAGTACTGTCAATACGGTACAGAATAGAATTTACGCGGAACGAGCGAAAATATGGTCGAAAAAACAAAAAAAAAATTAATTATCTCTAGGTGGGTTACACAACATTTTTAATATTAACCCTACAGCTTTCTTGGGACAATAATAAGAAGAAAAAAACCCTACATAGAAACTAAATTACTACTTCCTAATAATAAAGCCACAAAATAATTTTGAACAACTCTCCAACAAGATCTGACCATGTCGTCATCAACAAATGACAGCTGCTGTCAATGTCATGGCATAAATTTGACAGTTCAGGGGATTGCTATCCTTATCGTGTACATGTAATTGAAAGAGAGAGAACTGTCAGATTGTGAGATAGGTGTTAGTGAGCTGTGAAAATAAGGCATTCATGGCTTTATTTATGTTACACTCTTCTAAATAAACAATAAACTCATGGGTAAGTAATGAAACGTATTTCTCCCTTTATTCTGACGGACATCTGAAAAAAAAATCCGCCAGTGGGGCCAATGACACTGAAAATTTCCCATTGGCCCCCACTAGTGGTCGTTGGGCAGAAATGATTTTTTGTTTAGAAATCAGTACAAATAATTTGGCAATCAAGAAAAATTAACTTATTTTCACAGTTCAGACACCTTAAAATATTGTATTTTCATGACAGGGACAACATATTGGATGTGTTGTAAGGAAGGGAATGGATCATACACACCTAACATCTTTCTTTGGATAAACACATGAAAATAATATTGTAATAGTTTTAGGAACAAGTTTCTGCCATTAACGTTTGAGCAATTTATAATATTTATTTTATTGGAATCTCAAAAATTACTCAATTATCATTGCTTTGTAAAATTTGTGGCAGAATAAATAATGAAATTCAAAGTTACAAGAAAGAAATTTAAAGTGAGGTTTAGACTAGCAATTTGCAGAAGTTGACTTCGGCAAGCTGTCACCACTGTGTAAATCTAGCAGAAGTTGGCTTGCCACAGATTTACACAGTGGTACAGTTTTATTGCTAGTCTAAACCTCGAATAAGTCTTAGAATTCAGCCAAAATTGTTCTTATCAGTAGTTCGTGAATATTAAAATACAATTTGCTATTTAAATTAACATTTGTCTAATGTTCCACTAAATAACCCCTCAGGCTGGTTTTAGTGTCACGCGGACCGTCGGGTGCGGACCCGCTCCGCACGGCCAATCTGTATGAACTTCTAGGGAGCGTTTTAGAGTAATGCGGTCCGAAGGAACCGCTCCGCTCCCTAGCAGTTCATACAGATCGGCTGTGCGGAGCGATCCGCACTGACAGTCCGCGTGACACTAAAACCAGCCTTAGTAATGCCACGATAGCCGAAGAAAAGTAACGTGTGATCCACCCCCTTCCCTGTGTCAGAGTAAATACAAATGAGTAGGTCATCTTCATAGAAACGCACCGAGCGCGGTTTGTATGTGAGCGCGCCAACACGTATGCGGCGCGCACGCACACATGATCACCTACTCATTTGTATTTACTCTGCCTGTGTGCGTATTACGTGAGTGTGTGTGCGTGTGACTCACAGTGCATGTCGCGCTCGTGTTCGTACTCGATGAACGCGTATCCGCGCGGCTTGTCGTTCTCTTTGCTGTACACCATGTATATCTGTTGGGGAAGCGATGAAATAAATACAATTATTATTCTGTGACAAGTACTTGAGCAATAGATGCACTTTGCGCAGCACTATCCCCGACCTTAAGCCGTATACATACAGAAAGAAAGCTGGAAACTTATAAGCGCTTGTCAGCGCTGGTAACCCGCGCGGGAAAATATATGAACGCGCGCCGATAAGCACTGAACGGCGCCGACAAGTTTCAACACGCGCTGGTCAGCGCTGGACGCTGCCATATACTATAAGTTAAATTTTATAAAAAAAAATAAAACCGACTCCAAAAAACTTTCACTAAAAAGTAGAATAATAATTACTAATTACCTACTTATTTATTAGGACGAATTATTAATATTTATGTAGGTATACCATGATTGATACTTCTGGAGTCGGTGCCAAGATTATGAAACATGTAAAGTTTGCCTGCACCGACTCCAAAAGTATCAATCATGGTATACCTACATAAATATTAATAATTCGTCCTAATAAATAAGTAGGTAATTAGTAATTATTATTCTACTTTTTAGTGAAGGTTTTTTGGAGTCGGTTTTATTTTTTTTTATAAAATTTAACTTATTTCTTGCTTTTTAGTTAACTAATTATTACCTTGATGTTACCACTGAAGGTAGGCAGTACATTGAGACCATATTCTTAATATATATTATAAAAAAGTTCATCCCCAATTTTCCACCCTTGGGGGTGAAATATTTTCTTCAAATTCGCATAAAACCACCCTTTTGATAATACCTATTCAACAAAAAAGTAATCGTTCTAATTGGTTTATAATCGGCGGAGATATTGCGTATAAAAAAGTTCATCCCCAATTTTCCACCCTTGGGGGTTGTTTTTTTTATTATTAAATTTAAATGGGACCACCCTTGAGGTATTACCTATACGCTGAAAAAAGATTTGTTCAAATCGGTTCATAATTGGCGGAGTTATCGCGTAACAAACATAGAAAAAAAAAAAAAAACATACGGGTCGAATTGAGAACCTCCTCCTTTTTTTGAAGTCGGTTGAAAATGACATTCAACTTGTTTCCTTTGTGAACGAACGGACCAGCGCTGACAAGCGCTGGTAAGCGCTTATAAGTTTCCAGCTTTCTTTCTGTATACGGCCTCATACTTGCAACTGGTATTGCATTAATACAGTGTTTTAAAAATGAGAATTAGTAACTTTCACACATTAGAGCCCTCGCCCACTGTTCGCGCAGTGCGCTTACAACCTTTTTTCACCCCGCGCCGGACGTCACTATCGCCAATGCCTCCAAACAGGAAGTAAAGAACATCACTAGCGGCGTCGTCCGGCCATCTTTACCTTGGGATCTAATCCTCGAGCGCGTAGCTCGTATATTTTTCTACATTTTACCATTGTAAACGCAGCACATATGAAGATTAAACTAATCCTTATGTAAAAAAGGACTCTTATTTGAAATCCTGAACACCCACGGCGACTTTTTGTCTCGCGTTTTGTAAACGAGCATTTGCAATGCACTACAGAAGGTATGCCAACGCGCTACTAACGCGCTACAGCAGCTGTATCGCTACAAAAACTCACCGTGGGCGAAGGCCCTTAGGATTAGGACTTGTTAAGGTTTAAATTGTTATTTTTGAATATCTGGTAGTAACTCAACATGAGGTTTATTTACATGCATGCAAAATGAAGCCAATATAAAAATACTCACCTTTTTAATAGGTCCATATCCTTCAAACTCTCTTCTGAGTTTTGATTCTGAAGTGTCATAGTTCTGGAAAGAAACGATTTATTTTTTATTTTAATTCGTATCACCTGGAATTTTGTTGCTATGAAATAAAAAGTAACAAAAATATTACTGTTTTAATTATTTTGTTTTATATGATTGTGTAAGTCACGTCACAGGCTCAGTCAGTGGTACACTTCTTTATTATTTTCATAATTAAAGAAGGCTTTATGTATATCAGGGGTGGCCAACTTGATTAGACATAAGATCTACTGTTTACTAACGAAACCCTGGGAGATCTAACACTTACATACTTCTTGAAATATTAAATGGATCAGCATAGTTTAGTACAAAAGTATTTTTTGCCTTGCCACGATCGACTAGACTAATATTCGCGATCGACCGGTTGGCCACCCCTGATGTACAGATTACAATCTAGTCTAGACAATATTTTTTTTCAACCTGTTATGTTTTTACCAAATTAGAAAAAGCCACACAAGATATTTTCAGATTGTGTCTTGTTTGAATGAACTCAAGACCTCTATATGGAGTGAAACTGAAGAATCAACAGCGTAACTCACAATCCTAGCCACAAACAGCGTCTTGAAGGGGTCGGTAGTGGCCCTGGGGTTGGCGGCCGGGTCCCACAGCGCGATCTCCTGCTCCAGCTTGTAAGCGGTCTGCTCGGCGCGCTCCCGTCGCCGCCTCTCCAGTCTCTCCTCGCGGGTCTCCACACGAGTCGGTGGCGGGGTTTCTGAGGGGTGCTGGAATCAAAATCAAAAATATTTTATTCAGTTTTGACCACTAGAGGGAGAATGGCTTGATTTAGAAAGGTTATTGTGTAAAGCCCGGTCTGTGAGCACGTAGAATTTTGTCCAATGACCCCGAGCTACCCATCCTTATCGCTCGCGCGTAATTATATTGCTGTCGCGACTGTACGACGGGCGCCCGCAGTGAGTGAGCGCGACAGCAACATAATCACGATAAGGATGGGTAGCTTGGGGTCATTGGACAAAATTCTATGTGCTCACAGACTAGACTATAGTAAAAGTAAACTTGTGGTTATTATGGTAAAATCAACAAAAAGAATGCGAAAGGCATTGTGTCTTATACTGATCAGTGCTTAGGGCCATAAGAATGTTCCTATACAAGCACGCTTTAGAACTTCAGTCGTCTCTACACGGGAGGGGGTTGGTCCTACGGGGGTGGGCTACATGACCTTTTCTCCTTGGTTCGACATCCTCTAGACGATGACAGCATAGATTTGCGAAAATTAGAACTTTTTGGAAAAACCGTAAAACTTGAATCGCTTCTAGAGGGTCGGGGGTTGGTCCTACGGGGATGAAGTACATGACCTTTTTTTCTTGGTTTGAGGTCCCCTACATGATGGCATCAAAAGAATCGCCACTTTCGGGAAAAATTTTTTTGATCGAAATTATTCTAAGTGTCGGAAGCCACCTTTAATTGGCTCTAAATCTGAAAGCGTTTGTTTTAGAGAGGTAGACCATATAAGCTTTTGTGCTTTGTTTTACGTCTTCTATGCGATTCTTGCAAGAAAACAAGGAATAATTGAAGAAAAAAAAAACTCGTCGAAATTATTCTAAGTGTTGATAGCGCACTTTTAATTGGCTCTAGAAAGTTAACGGTTGGTCCTAGAAAAAAAAGTTATCTGAAGATTAGTCTTATTTTTATCTATTCTAAACATTCCCGGCAAAAAAAGGCAAAAATTAAAAAAAAAAATTTTTTCATAAAAATTTTTCTAAGTCTCGTGCCCCATAGCGCCCCGTTTCCTATACACTGACCGAAAAATTAAACCTAAACACACTATTCTAATCTAAGCAATAAAGGAATTGAGGTTTGAAATAGCATGTAAGATATTAGATATTGTTTGTTTTTCAATTTATCTGATCAACCACAACACGGGTTGGAATAAGTCAAGTTTAAGTATGTAAACAAGAAAACGCTGATATTGGTATGTAAAAACAATAGTATATACAATACAATGATGGAATGGAGACATATTAGTCGTCTTTTTCATCAATATCAATTCCCTTTAGAGGTTACCCAGAGGAGAACTCGACTACCTATGGAGTAAGATCCTAGTTTGTTGTGTTATTATTCTTTGTATTAAATTCTATTGATATAGGTACCTCATATTGTAATCCTGTGACTCTCTAGGAAGGTTAAAATCTTTCTTTTGATCCTTGTATAGCTTTCTATGTTTTTGAAAGCTTCAGCTATGATACACAAAGATGGAAGAAAGTAGGATTTTACAAAAACACCAGACCTAAGACGATGTTCGTCAGTCATAATTTCCAACCAAGGGGGATACATAATTCAAGAAAATCAATAAAGATAAAAATACCACGTTCATTCAGAGAACAGTAAAATCGTCACTAACCTCAAAAACGTTGAGGAAGGCGCCGACTCCATCGTAGCCTTTCTGCTTCTTCTCATGAGGGAGCTTGGCCGCTGGCGGCAGGTAGGGGATCGGGTCCCTCGCCGCGAACAGCGCAAGCAAGTTTGGTGGCAAAAACTGAGTCATTTTTCACCACGCCACTGTTTCACCAGGAAAAAAACTCACAAAATCACACACATTGTTTTGTCACATACACAAAATAGGTATTTTAATTAACTAATTCTTGAATTACGGTTTTAATTTCTACTTTCCTAAAATAACACACAAGTAACACGTCTGTTTCAATGAAAAATTCACAATGAGCAAAATTCTGCATTCACAAATCGCCGTCCGCCATTTTACAACGCGTTAGTGATGGGACATGTTGTGAGTGATGTGACAGACTGTAGCCAAATCAATTGAATGATCTGGTATTTTTTTCTATACGATACGATACGATTATTGAGAAATGTTACAATATTTTTGTAATGTTTATTAGCATCTTCCTCTGTTAAATTTTAAGTTTTATAATAATAAGCTTTATATATTATAGAACTTTTGGATATTTGTTTTGGAACTATTTTTGTATAAGATTAAGCTAAACAGTCGTGTCATGTACTAAGCAAATGTCGTGTATAGCTATAACTGGAGTGCAAATTTATTTGATGTACCTTTTTATTGTCTAAATTATTTGTAAAAACTAATTTGTATTCTGTTGCTGTACCTAAATAAATAAATAAATAAATAAATATTCGATTAATGTGTTACCATAGGTACTAAGTACTATTATTGAAAGTGATGGTGTAGACAGACTGTAGGGTATCACTGTTTTTGTACTTTGCTGGACACGTTACCCTTCAGCAGACATAATGTACAAAATTATATGTTGATAATCAGGCAAGCTCCTCTGTTTCTCTTTTTTTTTCTGTTTTTATGTATTTAATTTTGTAGAATATTAATAGACGGACGACTAGTTCGAAAGTTACCTACCGCAGTGTAAATGTGACACAAGATTTAGGTTCAATTTGCAAAAGTTTTGAACTTTTCTCCAATGACTTAATGAGCTATAAAATAGATTAGAGCACTTCAGAATAATCTTTGAATTTGTTGATGCAAAATGAACAAAACAATGTACAATTAAAAACAAACTTAACTTTGTTTAAATTACTACATTAGACTTTATTTCAAGATTACTACAGTCGATACTTCAATAGTCCAATTGTGAGCGCCTAAATCCGATTGTAAGGACAATACAATCATAGTTTGCCAAATGAAATCACCCTTTACCGTACTCGTCATAAAGTCGTTAAGGTGCTAATTCAAATGTATTCTCTGTAAGGATAAGACAAAATTAACTTTGAACATTGACAAGCAAATCTGAACTCTATCTTTACAAGTTATGGTCCACATGAAACGCACAACAAAGTTAGTCCCAAAGGATGCTGCAGTGTTTCTAGGCAGTGTAAATACAGTGGCCTTTGCGTGTGCATGTGAAAGCGCGGGAAACGCCGCTGCGTGGGTTTTCAAAAAAAGAACAATAAAAATGGAGGTTTAGTACAGGCCAGTGTTATTGATTGAGTTGAAGTGTTTTATAATTTAAAATTATTTAAAAATAAACTTACGTTATTAAAAGTTATCTACCTACATTTTAAAAGAAATTATCAAATAATGTAAGTAATTATATTATCGTTTTGTATCCAAAGTACCTACGGTATTAATTAATTTATATAGATAAATTGAGATTTCGTTAACTAATTTTGTTAATTAGACAAAATAAGGCTCGTTTCTGCTACAGACTAAGCCCTAAAGTTACCTAAGTACTTATTTAATTTCCTTCTAAGTAATTATTAACTACTTACTCAATTACAATAACTTCGTGTGATCGTGTCTGTTGGATTTTGTAAGCCTACATTTAATTACGTAGGCATTTATTATTTTATAACGCATGTAGGATTAGGTACTTACTTACTGGACCATTATTAGAAACTATCCAATAAGTTGAATAGAATGGTGAAAAGGTGTATAGTATAAGAATCTTTTAATTTTATAAATGAGGGTAGTGCGTTAGGAATGAACCTGACGTTATATTCTAGGGTGAGATTAAATTATTGGTTATGGGATTTAACTAATTCATTTCCTTCACGAAAAAAATACTGTACCGAATTTGATGAAACTACAATCGCTGCTAAAAATATTGCTCTATTACGAGTAAATAAGTATTAGACAAAAGAGAGAATTTAGTTTAATCTAATTAATTTTCGTGATAGGTAGCTACTACCTGATGTACCTACCTTTTTTGTTTACCTACCACGACAAGATGGTTTTTCGCCAAACAGTGACCTAATTCACAACTTATTATAATATTCATAAAATTCATAGCGGGCACTCAGAGCCGGGTGTTTTATTGCGATCATGAAAATGCAAATACATTCCAGGAGCCTTATGTTACAAAACGAAGTGTTTGTAAACCTTGTTACCAAATAAATATTTCAAAAATTCCCTCGTACAATTTACACGCGCGTGTCCGTTTCAAAAACCGGGATAAAAACTAACCTATGTTAGTCCCTGGGTCTCAAACTATCGCTATTTGAAATGTTATCTAAATCGGTTCAGTAGTTAAGGCGTGTAACAAACATCGAAAGTCGAAACATACTCATAAACTCTTTTTTTTTAAAGTTAGGTAGGATAAAGTAACTTTTCTGTTTTTGAGAAATTAATGTCTTAAACCGTAGATACAAGATTGTCAGAGCAGGTAGGTTGCCACAGACTGTAACTAAGAAGGTACCTGCAGAGTGGAAACATAATAATAATATTATTATACTTATTTGGGTAGTCAAGTATCCTTCTAATTTGCATTTTTGTACCCTCCTACTCACCAAGAGCTTAAAAAGTGTTTTGGGGCAAGTACTTACAGGGCAGATAAAATATGTACCATCCTAGACTGCATCCCACTTAACATCAGGTGCGATTGTGGTCAAATAACTGCCTTGTTATGCATAAAAAATAAGTAGGTAACTATAAGTTATTTTCAGCCGTAGCAATTTGTAGGCACGCAGTTAATTTAAATTAGAGATTTAGTCCGACAAAAAGTTATAGTTCGGACAGTATATACCCACGCTAGTATACTCCGAAGCATTATTTACTGCCGTTTCAGATCGCTTCTCAGTACATAAAGCGGCTTCAGCGCGTTTCCGAGCCATTTATCGTTATTTAAAACGCGGCCGACTGTATTTTGAAAAATACGCAGCGCTCGAGTAGGCGCGGCGACTGAACGGTCTTGATACTTGGGGTATAAATTGTCGTACTTTTCGAAATATTAGCTTTTTCTCGTAGCTATTTTATTTTTAACTATCTTAATAACGTAAAATATTAATTTACTCATAAATACACCCATTAAACCCCAAACTGATGAAACTGAACTGAAGAAATTGATTGCTATCCGTTGACTACTTTTTTGGTTATAGAATAAAAAACATCCATCCAAAATATACCAAAAATAAAATACTCGTAAGTGTGCAAATCAACAATGCCAACATACTGATTTCCAGAGCCACGGGACTATTCCCACCTCTCGTTCCCACCACTGCAACTCCTGTGTAGCCAGGATCTACAGCTTGACCGCCACAAAAACGCAACCAATGATTTCCAGTGCCAGTGAACAGTGAAGTAAAACCAGTGACGTGTAGTGAAGAAACCAGTGACTTTCAGTGAAGATGTACGGAGTGGTGGCCTCGCAGAAGCAGAGCCGTGGCAAGAACAAGAGCAGGGCGCAGCATCGGGACCAGGTAGGTATAGATTTTAACATATTTTTATCATAGAATTTTTTCTTTCCAACCGAGATACAAGTAAAAGCGCTTTTTAAGACCCGGTTTCCACCAAGGTGGAGGGGAGAAATGATGAGACGAGATGTGTTTTAATAACCAATCAGATTTCGATATTCTCACATCTCGTCTCCGCTCAACTTCAGTGGAAATGGATCGAGCGCAGAGGAGAGATGTGTCTGGCGGCCACATTTTTTTCTATATAATTTGACAGCTGCCAGTTGCTAGCTTTATCGCATATTTCCTCTCGTCTCTTTGGTGGAAATGAGCCTATTTGGTAAAATTAAATTACTTTCATGTACCTTTTTACATGGACAAGACAAAAATTATGTCAAATGCCCGTGTTGTACCCACTCCTTTGAAGGTTGGAGACACTATACTCGAAGTTGTTGACAATTATGTATACCTGGGACAAACAGTCCAGTTAGGTATGTCCAACTTCGAGAAAGAGGTTAATCGTCGAATCCAACTCGGCTGGGCAGCGTTCGGGAAGCTTCGCGAAATTCTCACGTCCGAAATACCGCAGTGTCTCAAGTCAAAAGTGTTTGACCAGTGTGTGTTGCCAGTGATGGTGTATGGCTCTGAGACGTGGTCGCTTACTATGGGCCTCATAAGAAGGCTCAAGGTCACCCAAAGAGCGATGGAGCGTGCTATGCTCGGAGTTTCCCTGCGTGATCGAATCAGAAATGAGGAGATCCGTAGGAGAACCAGAGTGACTGACATAGCCCGCAGAATCGCTAAAATCAAGTGGCAGTGGGCGGGGCACATANGAGGCCTCTACTGAGGCCATCGAGCATTGTGCCTAGATCCTCCAAGGTCTCAGCCATGACTACGATATCGTCCGCGAATCAAAGGTGGGTGATGTACTCGCCGTTGATATTTATGCCAAATCCGTTCCAGTCCAGAAGCTTGAAGACATCTTCCAGGGCGGTGGTAAACAGTTTTGGAGATATGACGTCTCCCTGTCTTACCCCTCGCTGCAACTGGATAGGTTTCGAGTCCCGATCCTGGAGGCGGACCGACATTGTGGCGTTTTTGTACAAACCCCTCAACACTTCGATGTATCGATAGTCAATTTGGCACCTTTGGAGAGACTGTAGCACTGCCCAGGTCTCGACCGAATCGAAGGCTTTCTCATAATCCACAAACGCCAGGCAAAGTGGTTGATTATACTCCTCGGTCTTCTGTATAATCTGCCTTAGCGGATGTAAATCTTAGTTAACATGAAACAAAATGAATGAAAGCCCTGCTTGTGTTTTTCATTATAACATTTCCAAAATTAAGCCACATAAATTCAAATTCAATTTCATTTGCCAACTATACTTACCTATATGGTAGGTCCAAGATATTTTTTTATATACACAACGAGAAAGCATCCGAAAACACCCACCTTATTAAGTTACTATCTATTGCTTTAAAGCTTGAATGATGTGAAATAATCCAGTGAACTCTCCTCTAAAACAAAGATTAAAAAGTATATTACGAGTTTAATTATCTGATCCTAAGTTGAAAAGGACATAATGCTCTTTGTGATATTAAGTACAGTTTCAAT